TGCGCAGATCCACCATATCTGACAACGCTTCTAACCTGCTTGCCCTTAATGTTCGTATTGACACCCGTCATCCAACTGTCAACCTCGTTAACAAGTGATCCCTTGCTGCACTCAAACACATGCTCTGTCCAGCCGTCCGCGGCCTCCTGTGTTGCCTCCGCATACGTGTATCCCCTATCACGGCAAAACTTCAACAGATCCACAACAACCTGTACGGCGTGCTCAATGTTTCTGGTTGCGTTGCCAAACGGCTGATGCGGGCCGAGAACCATAAACATGTTGGGCATAGAGGGCACCGTCATGCCGAGGAACGTGTAGGGTCTGTTGTCGACCCAGACGGCTCGCTCGCCTTTGGGTGTTCCACTCGGCGCAATCAGTGGCCGTCCATCTTTGCCTTGCCACTCGATTGCGCTGAAGGAGCCTGTAATGGCATCGAAACCAGTGGCATAGATCAGGATGTCGAGCTCGTGCTCCTTGCCGTCGGATGTGATTATGCGGTCAGACTTCACCTCGGAGACCGGGGCCTTCTTGAGGTCAACGAGGTGCACGTTGTCTTGGTTGAAGGCCTCGAAGTAGCCGCTCTCTAACGGCACACGACGGGTACCAAAACCGTGCGTCTTGGGGATCAGAGACTCGGCCACCTCCGGGTCGTGTACTCTTCCCCTAATCTTGTCTGCGATGAAGTTGGAATACAGCTCATTGGCTTGGCGATCCGTATACGTGTCGCTAAAAAGACCCTGCCACTTTCCGAAGCCCGGCTCGTTGTACAGTTTCTCCCAAAGGGCCAGGCGCTCTTCTGCCGTAACCTCCATGGACTTGCGTGGGTCCGCCATGTGCATGAAACCTGAGGGCGTGGAGCGGCAGATGCCGAAAATGTTGTCATAGTCTTTCTTGAGCTCTTCCATCTTCTCTGGCGAAATCTCGTAGTTGCGCAAGGGGACTGTCCATGTTGCCGTTCTTTGGAACACGCTGATGGACTTGATGCTTGGCTCTTTTGACAGTGCGGTGATAGTCTGGATGCCGGTGGCACCGGTCCCGACAACGCCGATACGCTTGCCAGCAAAATCGCGGGCAAGGTTCAAGTCTGTCGGCCACCGCGATGTGTGGAAAGACGTGCCCTTGAAATTCTCAATGCCGGGGATAGCTGGTAGTGATGGTGTCGAAAGGAAGCCGATACAGCTGAGGAAGAAAGTGGTGATGTATTGGTTGCCGTCCTGGTCGACAAATGTCCAGTTATGGGCATCGTCGTCCCAGCGAGCTGATTTGACCGTGGTGTTGAACTGAATATGTTTGTAGAGGTCGTTCCTCTCTGCGAAGCGCTTGATATACTTGTGTGTCTCGGGCTGGGGGGAGAAGGCCTCCTTCCAGTGCCATTCCTCCAAGAGACCCTTGTCAAAGGAATAGCTATAGGACACAGACTCGCAGTCAAACCGGCATCCGGGGTAGCGATTCCAGAACCACGTTCCACCGACGTCTGCACCGTTGTCGAGGACCTTTACCCTGCAATCGGGCATTTGCTCCCGAATGTGGTGCAGACTAGCAAGGCCGGATAGGCCTGAGCCAATGATGAGGACATCATACGTCTCTTTCACAGGGGTCGGAATAGAGCCCATGATTTTCGGGGTGGTTTCAAGAAACAGACTGAAAAGAATCAAGTTTGATTTTGAGATTTGTCTGTACTATTCAAGTCTTGATAGGAATGCTTGATGAAATGCTTCTTGTGCCACATTAAGATCTTATTCTTCGAAGTCTGTGAGATGTCTAAATAGCCAACGACTCGCCCTTGACATAAGGCATTTCCCTTAGCAAATAGAATTCCGCTGAGAAAGTATCTGCACAACTTTCCCGTCCCATCTATCACAGCATTATCCGCCCAACTTGTTCACGTCAAACATCAGCCGATCCCATGTGGGGCTTATCTGAGGTGGCGGCCCCGATTCGGGGATGACTTGCCAACTCTGGATTTGGGTGGTGTTGACCAAAGTTCGCTTATCGGGCCCCTCCCCCGCATCGACCAAGTCATAGGCTAGCTCCAAGGGGAACCCTTCCCTTAAGGAACCCTAGTCAGACTATACAGCATTCTCAAGCATGCAAAAGCGTCGAATCATCGAGATGTCAAGCTGTCAGTCTAGGTATCTAAAGGTCATATGATGCAGCTGAGCGCTTTCCGAGCTGCCGCCGATAGGGCGTGTGAGTGCGGTACCGAGCAATCAATTTGTCACACTTCAACACTATGGAGTCGCAGCTGAGATTGGGGGTTCATGATATCGTATGAACATCAAGAAAACGATGTAAATTGGCATCCCATACCAAGACTGCAAAAGGTTCCGGGAGGCACATAGTCCAGTCAATTCATATGGACGCAACTTCGAGCAAGCACGTAGTCGATCATTAGAGCCCATTCATTGCGTTTCTAACCACAATAGTGCTTCAATTCGAATTGACGTATTCCCTACTGTGCCTAAGCTGTACTATTTGTATATCAACACCTGCAATTGACAATCATTGCCAAATCAGAGAAATCTTGCGCCACCACGCGTTTGAATTGCCTTGCTTCTCCTTCTCAGCCTCATCCATGGCCGTCCACATTTCCGCCTCTGCTTCTACCTCCCGCAAATTGGTAGACAAGTCAACATCTTCAGGAGCATACAGCCAGGGATCCTTTCTTCCAACCGTGAGCTTGTGTCCAAAGTATGTAACCAGGAAAAGCGGAATGCCAATATACGCAGTCAAGAAGCTAGATGCAGAGAATCTTCCGGGGTAGAACACCGTGAATCCATTGGCGAAGAGGAGGAAGCCGAATGCAATCATGGAGATCCACGCTCCGTAGGGCTGACACCAGGACTGGTAAGGGACCTTGACGCCCTGCGCTTGGCAGGCCTTGCGGAAACGAAGGAAGATAAATGCGCACAGCACCCAAGAGGTGTATCCAGCGGTGTTTGTCAGACTAACGAACCAGTTGAAGACCACGCCAGCATCTGAGGAGACGCTCAGATACGCGAGAAGAGTGAAGCAACTCGATGCAAGGACGGCGTAAATGGGAAGACCGTAGCTGTTGCAGCGTGTAAAGATTTTGGGTGCGTTGCCGGCAACTGCAAGAGAGTACAGGGATCTACTGGCCATGTAAAGGTATGAGTTTCCAGCACTCCAGGCGCTCGTGAGAATACCGGCGTTGACGACTGTGGGTAAACCATTGATCCCGGCGTTGCGGATTGCAATGACCCAAGGTGACGCATTAGCATTACCAGCACCGGACACAAGGCCCTCGGAGTTGGAGTTGCAGATGGCTCCAATCGCCAACGAGCCGAGGAGGTAGAAAATGATGAGTCTGTAGAAGAACCGTCGGCTGGCAATGGGCAGGTTCTTGCGCGGGTTTCGCATCTCGCCACCCATGACGATGATAAGCTCTGGGCTGAAGTAGAACGAGAAGCCGGAAAACACCCAACCATAAAGGAAGGCAGTAAAGCGACCACCAGAGCCTGTGATGATGTACTCCTTGGTCGCACCTGGGTCAACCCAGTAGTAGAAACCCAGCCGTTCTCCGCTCGGCCCTCCACCAAGAATCAGAACCAATGAGAGAAGCAGAAGACCGATGAAGAGAATGATCTTCAGACTTGCAAACCAGAATTCGGTCTCTGCGTAAACAGCAACTGGTGATAGGTTGAGTCCGACGACGACAACAAGGAGGATCGTCAGCCAGACAGCATTGTGGACGTTGTTTGGCCAGTAGTTGATGATGACTGAACCAACTGTGATTTCGTAGGCGAGAATGATGCCAAAAGAATACACATAGAGCCAACCGAGAGCGAATCCAAGGGATCGAGAAGTGTAGCGGTTGCAGTAGTACGACATGGAACTGCCCGAGATGGGGAGGAATGTGCCTACTTCCATCACAGCCGTGACTATGCCGTAGACGAGGAGAGAAGTGAGGGCATAGGCCAGGAAGAGAAACGCTGGTCCGCCAGCAGCTAGGACCTGGCCGGATCCTACGAAGAGACCAGTTCCAATGCTGCCACCAATGGCAATCATCTGGGCGTGTCGCGACTTGACATTTCGCTTCGTGCCACCCTGGGCGACGAGATGAGTCTCGCCGTAGGTATTGCTTTCGAGTCGGCCGAGGTCTGAGTCGTGCGTTTTGCCATCGTTGGCAGTGTCCGCGTAAATGCCCTCCTTCGAAAAGGGGGTTGCCGTGTCGTTGTCTAGAGCCATTGTAGACTGGGTCGACGATAGGGATTCGGTAAGGTTAATTCAATTATGCATTCGAGGCAACTGAAGGAGTTGTTTGGTTGTGAAACCAGTGTAGGTAAGGTAGTTGAGTACAGAGTCTCTTTCAACTTAAGTAGACTCTTGTATTGAATGAGGGCATTCTCTTGTCTTTTAAACTACACATTACGACCACGTACACCGAATCCTGTTCCGGGGGCCCTTAAGGTGAACCTTGTCTGGGCTGACAAGGGAGACCGGCACCGATACTACTTAGTGCCGACTCAGCTCGTTGTACTCTGGACGGAAGACATTGCAATTCTTGGAAAAGCATGGATGGAGATAAGTTCCAGCCGTCCCTGTTCCTAACCCATCCGGGGCATTAGGCGACTTGGCGAAGATACCAAGTGTAGTGGTCTCCAGTCAGATAGGAAAGCTTTCCCAGCTATCAGACGCCAAAACATGTACCCCAGGTTTACTATGGGGTCACCGGGTCGTTCGCTATTCCCCCCGCTCTTATCAAAGGCCCCCGCTCCAACGGATGCGCTAAAGCCGCGTTATGCATTCTGTTGCGCACTATTCGTATCTCTCCGCGGACATCAATCCCGTCGTGTTGGTACAACCCTTGGCTAAATATGTTGCCCTCAGCCCCTTGATATAACTTTCCATATCCATTTGCGGAGTCCAGAGTATCAGCAGTTGATATCGCAAACGTTCAACGTGCGCCAAACCCTCCTGACGTCCTCCCATAAACCAAACAGGAAGTGGAATCCCGAGCCAACTCTGGCTCACCCGGAATGGCCGATGCTAACAAACCCCGACTGTCTTTGCCCAAGGATGCGGACGCCCGGCGCAGTCGGTCCTTTGGCGGATGTGGAACTGTACGTCATCCCACCCATCACGCTGGTGAACCTGTGAAGTCTGGATAGACCGTAGACTGGAATCAAGGCGCTGACTTGCTTCAGTGTCGAAACCGCCGGATGAAGTGTGACGAGGGTCGGCCGACATGCTCCATGTGTAGGGCCTCCAACCTCACATGCAGCGGCTATGAGAAGAATATATTTTTCGACTTTGAGGAGATTCCGAGCGTCGGAATGGCGCGCTTTCGGAGACCCTTGTTGACGGAATCCGAACGCGAGTCAATGAGTGACGAACTCGTCTCCAGCATTCCTCCGGCGTTGACTCTTTGGCATATTGCCCAAATTGAGGACGAATGCGAGAGGGCACCGCTATCCCAAAGCGTCCAAATCAGTCGAGGTCCCTTCGGGGCCTTTAGAGTACATCGACTGTCAATGGAATCTTCAAAGGCTGCGCCCGAATCGAGTCCAGAGTCAAATAATCCCACAGTCGGCAGCCCTCCAAAGGCTGCGAAAGAGATCGGGGAGGACAGTCCTGAGGAGGCAGACGAAGAGCTCATGAATCCACCAGACGGTTCTCCGGCTCAAGAAACGACGCCGTTACTTGGGCCTGCTCTTGCCTGCTTGGACCATCGTCCATTGAGCCCTCTTACTGAGTGGTGGAACACGAACGAATGGTGGAATATGGGTGATCTCCCAGACGCGAGCAATTGGTGGGACACGCCTGTGGAACTAGATCGCGTACGCGATATATCCGATAATGTCTCTTTCTCCGGCATGGAACAATATCCGAGGGTACCAATCCATGTCGCCTCTCAGGATGTTCAAGTATGCATACCGAGCATGTTTGCAGACACTCAGTCTCAGCAGCTTTCAACGCCAGAAAACTGCTCTATTGCCCCCGCAATCGACTACGCCGTTCCTCACGATGCGGTCTTCCTTCTGAGACACTACTCTACAACAGTCCTCCGAGGCTTCACGCCCTTCCGCCACAGCAAAACGCCATGGCATATCCTATTCATACCATACGTCAAAAGTTGTCTAGCAGCACTGACACTCGGAGACGACATGGACCACGCTAGCTTAACGGCATTCTACGGCACGCTCGCCATCAGCGCCTCCAGCCTTGGTGGCATCTCTAACTCGCGCAAGTGGTCCGAACAGGCAAACAACTACAAGCAGCGCGCTCGCCACCACGTCCGGCTCATGCTACAGACAGCCTACGATGTTCCAAAAAAGGCAAAGTACAAATCGATACTGATTGCGTTTTTGACAATGGTACAAATCTCGAGCGTCTCCGGCAGCCGTGATCAAGTGGAGTGCTATCTTCTAGAGGCGGAAAAGTTCATACGCGTCAAGGGGCTCAACAGGAAAAAGTCGCGCAAGGTCCGATTACTGCATCACTGCTACGCGTTCGAGCGGGTCTTGCACGAGACCACGTTCCCGGGGAGCACGCAGTCTCCTCACCGTCTCCACGTGCGCAAGGTAATTGAGACCAGCAATGCGAGTGCCTATAGCATAGACAACCTGTCATTTCAGCTGGCGAGCTGGAGCAACCTCGACCAAGAAATGCTCAAGGTCAAGGGGCGGGAAGAAGGGGAGAACGATCTCCATCTCCAGATCCCGGGTGTCTGGCTCGCAACACTGTATCCCGAAATCTTTGGTATCCCAGAGATCTACATGTTCCTCCTTTCGCTCGTTATCCGGCTGGCTCGGTCAAAAGAAGATCCAGAGTACTCGAGTCCCGCAGGTCTGAAAGAGTTCATGTTCCGCGCCAAGGCAGTCGAGAGACGTATCCACCAACTCAGACGGCAGCCCGGATACGTGATAGCAGACTTGCCCACCTCGGACCCGGAGATGCAGCACTGCCAGCAATTTCTAGATAATCTCTCCCAGGCCATGCTGCTTGCCTTGACCATATTCTTCTATCGGAGGGTGTACGACGTGGAGGCGGACATGTTACAGGATAAGGTTGTCGGTGTTCGGGATTGTTTGCTGCGGTTCGAGGCAACCGAGTCTGAGATGGGGTACGGGTCAGCCAGGCTGGTGTGGCCTGCAGTGATTGCGGCGAGCGAGGCAGATGACCCAGAGGTGAGGGAATCGTTTGCACAGTTTTTCAGGGACTGGGCGCGTCGGAGCGGTCTTCGTATCTTCAGCGATTCTCTCGTGGATGTCGAGAGACGGTGGGCCGAGAAGGAATGTGTAGATAGCGGCGGCGCCACCGAGGCCATTTTGATATCGTAAAATGCATATTACTGGCTGTCCTAAATCTTCCGGTTTCAAACCTAGAGTAATATTGTGTGTAAGTAGGTTGCAGTCTTGCAGATGATGGAGGGTATGTGACTGGATGTGCTGTCGAGCAGATAATGTTCGACTTACCCCTTTGGTGGGGTCTTTGCCACTTCTGCAAGGGGATAACTTTCCTGTTCTGGGCCAGCATATCCCGTGTAAGTTCTCCCCAAGATACCCCGCGCTTCTTCAACAGAAATGATTTCTGCTCGGTTACTTGCCTATGGAGTTTGACTGTCACTATCTATGCCGCGGACCGGTACCTCTACTTAATTAGAGGCACAAAGGGAGGCGTCAAGCATACTTGTTCATAGAAACCAGCTTCTCATCATCGTACCCTGGCACAAGTTTACTTCACGCAAACACTAAGTCCGACCACACCATGTCTTCATTCCAAGGCAAAGTTGTAAGTCGGGCAAACTACCCACTTTCTTGGATATCATGCTCATGTAACCCTCGCGTAGATCGCTATCACCGGCGCCGGCTCCGGCATGGGCCTGTCAACGGCCCAGCTCCTAGCCTCCCGCGGCGCTAAGGTTTCATTGGCGGACATCAACGAGGACTCTCTCAAGGAGGCAATCTCGTCTCTCGAAGATAGTGCAAGCCACATGTACGAAGTAGTCGATGTAAGAAAAAGCGATGTCGTCAACACCTGGATTCAAAATACGGTGAAAAAGTTTGGCAAGCTAGACGGTGCCGTCAACATGGCTGGCGTCATTACCCATGCCACACCTGTTGCAGAGCTTACAGACAAGGACTGGGATTTTGTCTTTGAAGTCAATGCCAAAGGCGTCTTCAACTGCCTGAGGTCACAACTAGGAGCCATGTCTGACGGAGGCAGCATCGTAAGTTTCTTCTCTATTGCTCTATATCCGACTCATACACCGGCTACCAGGCCGTTCGAGCTACAGTCTCTGGCTACAAGTATTTCAGAAGCTGATACGATGCTTTTTTATCCTAGGTATCTGCAGCGAGTGTGTTTGGTCAATTTGGCGCTCCTGGCAACGCCGCATACTGTGCTAGCAAGGCAGCCGTAATTGGGTTGTCAAGAACAGCAGCCAAGGAAAATCAAAACATTCGCGTGAATTGCGTATCACCTGGTAAGTCGCTCCTTCCCTGCTGTTCCCCCCCCCCCCCCCCCCCTTAAGAAATCATCTGCTTCAAAAAAATCGCAAACTGGCGACAGTACAGAACCAAGCTAATGATATTCTACAGGCTCTGTCAACACGCCATTGTCTCGTGGAGAAAATCCAGAAGATGTGAAGCGCGGTTTACAGGTGACCGCACAGAAGAGAAGAGCAGAGCCTATTGAGATTGCACGCGTGATCGCGTTTCTTCTTAGTGATGAGGCTTCTTTTGTTACAGGAGCCGTATACAATGTTGATGGCGGTTGGGTATGCTAAGCATTGTGCTGTTAGATATTTATCAATGGGCCTTCTCTTCGGCTCGATCTCTGAATGAGACTTATACTTTTCTTCGACGAATTTTGAACTTTCTGCATAATACAATGCACAATCATACGATAGGAGAATAAAACTTTGAAGTCACGGCTATACTTAAGTCCATGGACGGCCCCCCAATGTCTTAACCTGAACATGTGTGTTCTTGGCGAAGGACATCCGCGTAGCTCTTTTCTGTAGATCTGAAGAAGCATCAACCTGGCCGAAAACTCTTTTATCATCGAATCACGTAAAATCCGAGATCTCTTGAACATGCTTCATAACGTTATTAGTGGAGGACCTTTTGGCATCACGTTATCATGGACTGAGATTCGTCGAAGCTTGATGTCAGTAACAAGTTATCGGCTTGTGACACGGCTATAAAGTTGGCCTTCCAATGATGTATGCTGCAGGAAGGGGCAAAGCACATTACTGGAAACTGCACATTGACAGATAGGCAATTAGGAATTGTCGATCCCATTTCACAGTGCTGTACTTGACGTTCGATGCTGAACTTCGTCTTAAGTCCGATGTGGTAGTCATGCAATTCAAAGACTTGTCACGCAGTGGATTTAGTCGAAATCATAGCTGAATAGTAATCCTGCTTTTGAGCAGTCTTGAAGTTCTCTCGAATAAGCTGTCGAAGGAAACAAAAGCGCCTAGCTTTGTAACACTCGATTAATACATCATTTGTCTGGTGGAGTCAAGATAACACCTGAAACTGGAAGCACCGAACTCTCTCAAGAATACGAATTATTCTTACCCATGATTCCAGAGAGGAATGAACGAGTAAAGGCGGACTTCTACTACAGCAGATTGAAGGGGGGAGACCGATCCACCTCGCATAAAGCCCCCTCTGTTGGACCTCGGTCAGACACAGGACCGTTGTCCAGACCATTCCAGTGCGAACAACGGCAATAGTCTAGCCTCCCAATTTCCCATCAGGGCGGATACTAAAGTTTCAGATCATGGTAAGACTATTAGGAAATACCACAAATCCCGTTGATGCGCCAACTCGGCCTGCATACGGATCGCCCGGCGCGGCTATCTCTGAACTCATCGATTGACACATCAGACAGTCTGACAAGTGATGGACAAACTTCAGATCGCCCGATGAGTCGCAAGACAGAAAAAAAAGTTGAGACAGATTTCGCAAAGTTTACACAATAGGGAATAGCTCCAGTTCATCTGGTCATCCATGTCTACCCACTCGACTTGCATTGCAGAAACCTGGCGTGCGCCTCCCCTCCTCCACCCCCAGACAACCCACCTGTTGTGCTTACATACCCCCCAAGTACCGGCCGGTTTGCGCATGCAGGCTGCACGACTCCAACGGTCGCTCAGCTTGGCTGTTTCTCTTGGCCCTCGACGGGCAAACCAATAAGAACCTACCATTGACCTGAGTCGTCGACTTTGCAACTCTGACTATGCTGCACTCAATCTGACTCCCCATGTATGCGTCGCCCGAAGCGACCTAGTCCGGCCTCTCAGAGCCGAGGCATCCAACGTTGTCACCAAGTGAGGCGTTGCGGGGTGCTGCGGGGGGCACTTCGAGATTGCAGCTCTCTACCGGCTTGGGTCGGTGTGTCTTGTTACTCCAGAGCTTGGATCGTGCATAACCAAGAGAACCCTTTTGGAGAGAGTGGAGTAGATTCTGCGACAGATTGGTAAAGTGGTAACCTTCTATCCATTGAGTCTCCAATAAGGCTCTCGGACTATACCAAGCGCGGAAACTTTTGGTAAAGGGGGACATGGCCGTTTCTTGTTGGACGAGACACATAGTCGAGTTGTGCTCACCAACAGACACATCCCTAGGACCATAGGACGATGGGGGCTAATTCGAGGGGCATCGTAAGCGGGCATATCCCCCCCTCCCCTCATTCCAACATCACCTCTATGGCCTCTCTACAAGTCATCCAAGTCTTGTCCCGAGGTTTCTCGCACTCTGCTGCAACCAAACAGACTCGCGGAGGTTCCTCCGAGCCATTCCCAATTCGATGTCCTGTCGCGAAATGGCAGCTCAGCCAGCTCTCACGTGGCATCGCTGTTCCTTGGAATTCTTGAACGCATCTAGCTTCACCGACTCCATGTCCTGAACTTCTCCGACGTGGGGAAAATGGCTTTGAGATTCAAGATGCGACTGGCGGATGAATCCAACGACCGTCACCGTCTCCACGATGTGATCATTCATCGAGCCCGGTTGGGGGAAAGGTAGCGCCGACTTCTGGATGTGCTTCACGAACAAGACCGGCCAGGCGTGTGAGTTGCGAGACATGGATTGGGCACATTCTCTTAGCATCGAGGATGTTCAAGCTGTAGATGATCCATCAGGGAACACCAACCTCGAAAACAAGATAAATAGTCGAGCAAGATCCCACCGGTAGACTCTTGATATCTTCGTTTCATCAGACTCAAGCTCTCGCTCAGAACCTGAATCCTCCTCTCCTTCGCTCAGAGCCTAGTAGCCAGCCCGCTCTCACTTGAAGACCGTTCCCAATTTCCGGACTCAAAACAACATCCAAAATGAAGTTCTTCAGCATCCTCTCCCTCGCCGTCACCCTCGCCGCCGCGGCACCAGTCGAAGTCGTCGACACCGGCGTCGCTGACCTCCAGGTCCGCCAGACGGGAGCGACCAGCAACGAGCTCGAGTCCGGCAGCAGCTCCGCCTGCCCCAAGGTCATCTTCATCTTTGCCCGCGCCTCCACCGAGCCCGGCAACATGGTAAGCCGACCAGAATTCTTACAAATGATCTGGGAAAAGGCATTTCCCAAGAGCTAACCTCGATCGATGAATAGGGAATCAGCGCGGGCCCCATTGTCGGCGATGCCCTCAAGAGCCGCTACGGCTCGAGCCAAGTCTGGGTTCAGGGCGTCGGCGGACCGTACAGCGCTGATCTGGCTTCCAACTTCCTCCCCGAGGGAACCAGCACCGTCGCCATCAACGAGGCCAAGAGGCTCTTCACCTTGGCCAACACCAAGTGCCCCAACTCCGCCGTCGTGGCTGGCGGATACAGGTTAGTGAGGCCTTGCAGACGTCTCCCTTTTTTCCCTTTGCCTTCTGCTAATGTGGCTCGATGAACAGCCAGGGAACCGCCGTCATGGCCTCGTCCATCTCGACTCTGAGCTCGACGATCCAGAACCAGATCAAGGGCGTCGTCTTGTTCGGCTACACCAAGAACCTCCAGAACCTCGGCCGCATCCCCAACTTCCCCTCGTCCAAGCTGTCCGTCTACTGCGATGTCGCGGATGCCGTCTGCTACGGTAAGCAAACCTGCTTCCCATCCTCAAAGACGTCAGAGAAGCCACTAACACGTCCAGGCACGCTCTTCATCCTGCCCGCGCACTTCCTCTACCAGACTGACGCGGCTGTAGCCGCCCCTATCTTCTTGGCTGGTCGCATCGGTTAAGGAGCTCGAGGACGCAATCAGTTCCGGATCGACCGTGATTCGGATGCAGTTGGCTTTGGTCGAGAAGGATTGTGAAGAGAAACTGTTGGCGCATCGATTTCTGTGAAGGACGGGACTCGCTTGCTGGAGACGGAGTCTGAAGCTGGGCAGCAGAATGGAATATGGAAGGGTCGGGTTGGATTGCTGGAGCATGATACTCACTCATTTGTTGTCGCTCATTTTGTTCTTATTATCTTTCTTGCCACTCACTTAGTTTAGCTATTTCATGCTTCATGTACAACCTGACGATGGACGAAATGCAAAGGCTATTCTTATTGTTGCTAAATGGGTATCATTGAGTCATTACTTCAAAACAGATGCTATGCCAGAGGTGTTGCGCCAAGTTTCATGCTTTCTTCGTCCTGCTCCGAAGGAAGGCTGCGTGCCGTTGAGCGTGGTATTTTACGTCTGCCGGGTGCAGCGGGTTGTACACGATCCGGCATGTCTTACACTCCATAAAAGTAGGTTTCGACGAGAGGTTGATGGTCGTCTGAATAGTCGGAACAGGCTTTGATCGGGAGGGAGGTTTCTTCGGCCTAGCCTGGTTTTCGATCTTTCCGAGGTCGGGAAGCTCGTTCAGTTTGTTTTCGTCGGCATCTTGCAGCTCTGGGGCGCCTCGTGCCCTCGTCCTGCGAGCGTGGTGTGGTTTCCGTCCAACAACAATACAACTTTCTTCATTCTCGTCCTTCTCACCCTCCAAAGGGTCCGACGAATGTGACAGTGGCGTGCTGTGTCGTAGCCTCAGACGACGGGGTTCCTTGATCTTTCTGAAAACGGGAGGTGATGAAGGCGGGGTGTTGACCAGCTTTTCCGAGTCGGACAAGGGGTCGGAGGCTTCAGTGGCCGAGCTTGATCGGCAGGGTTTGAAGTAGCTTAGGATCGAACTCTTGGGTATACTGCTTGATGGCGGTGCAGATTGAGCGGGAGGAAGCCGTGGGAGGTCTGGCGTCCGCGTTGCTCGTTCGATCTCGGGTTTGCGCTTCTTGAACAAGAGAGAGCCGACTTCTTCATCAGCGGCGCGCGTGCGTTTGCTGTAGGTTTTGAGGGTTCGTCTGCAAGATGTCAGTTTGGGTTGACATCGACACTCGCAGCAGGTCTCATACCTCTTGTTGGCTGTTGTTCTTGTAGAATCGGGTCCAGACCGCTGGCTGTGTTGCTTGGTGATTAGCGACATTAATGGAGATACAATGTCCATGGAAACGCGAACCTGGTGTCTGCGATTTGATCCATGCCTTCAGCCAAGGCAGTGAAAGTACTTGTTGGACAGAGAGATGTGCCGAATGTTAGGCGCATGTAGACGGGTGTGGTGATACGCGACGCGCGCGCTCAGTGCTTCGCGCGGGAGAGAATTCGGCGTGATAATAGAAGCTGATTACAGTCGAAACGAAGTGAGAGAGATAGCGGAGACGGACCAAAGGACTAGGAAACGATTAAAAATTACAGCATCCGAAAGACAGATCAACAAGGCCGAGGCTGAAGAGAGATGCAGAGGCAGTGATCGGGCCCAGACCGGGGGGAACATCCAGGCCCCACCTGGAGCGCGTCGCGCTGATTGACGTGCGGCGACGCGTCCAGTCGCGCACACCAAAACTCTCCCCACGCCGTCACGTGTATTAGATTGCTTTCTTACCTATGACGGAGCTTCTCGACAGAGTACTACTCAATTTTGACAAACATGGTTCTATAATCCCGGGCAACTGGTAATAACCTACAAAGGCCGTTTTAGGACATTCTCTGGCCTTACATGGGGATGTCGCAACAGCACGCCTTAGTGATGCTGCCAATATTTTCTCATTTCGTAAATTCTACTCCCTACGAGAGCCCCTTTAGTCTTCGTCGTATGCCTTCGTCTGTATCTTGCGATTTCGTATCAAGGATAGTCGATTCTCCGGCTGGCTCGCCCTTGCTCTCCTTACCCAGCACCCACGACTGCATCACCTCTCTGATTTCTTCCGGTTCTTTCGTCTTGGACTTGGCCTCCCCTATCCTCCAAACATAGCCCGAGTACACGGCGACCTCTGCTATTAAGACTAGAATGGCGCCTCCAAGCGTCAAGAATATTCGAGCAGTGACGTTCCACCATCGAGCTGCTATCCAGATGGTGGCCGCGACACCAATGATGCTTATGAGAAAGTTGAGAATGACCATCATCTGCTTCTGCACGTCCCCGAGCGTCACTTCGTCATCGCCATTGTCTGCTTCGTTCATAGGGCGGTTTACTTCGGCAAAGGCGTGTGCTCGGGCAGCGGCGCTGGGAAACTGCTGGGAAAAGGCCTCCATTCGGGACGGTTGCTTCATCATTCGCTGGTATGTTCGTTCTTCTTCCTCGCGTCGCAGGCGGGCCATCAGGGCTTTGTACTCGGCGGACTGTGAAGGTATGGTCAGCGACTCGGAGCATACTTAGAGTTGGCCGTCTTGACGTACTGGTTCAGGCTTCGGAGGTGGCGGGGGTGTGTAGACCCTGGCGCCTCGCAACAGTCCCTCCAAACCGAATCCCTCGATGCCTTCCGTCTTCAGACTTTTCCACAAATCTAATATCTGGCTGTGCGTGATGGGGTCTCCGATCACATAATCGCCAAGAGTCGGCTCTTCGGCTTTGGCTGTCGCCGCAGTCTTGCTGACAGTACCTGCTGTGGTTTCCTGCTCTGTGTCCTCTGGTGTCGCCGCGATTCGCCGTCTGAGTCTGACCTCAGCCAGCTTCTGTTGACCTTCGGCTACGGCGGGTGTTATCGTCAATCGTACCATGGCTGCTGATGTAATTGTGTCGCCTCTACGAGGTCATCTCGAAGCGATGTGCTCGTAACTTGGTGATACTTCAAGACATGCAGTGCCAACAATTAATTTAGTCAGACGCGGTCAAATCGGGGTAATAATGCGGGCGTCGGGTCGTGCCTGCCACACTCGATGCAACAACAATGACCGAGGCAGCCACAGCAGCTTACTGCGTATGATAGCTCCTGCTCGAATGGAAGCTATGTTATGGGCCATTGAACCAATCAAAAGACCAAGGCCCCACCATTCTTCTCCAAAGATACGTATCGCCTGGATCCGCTTTTCCCCCTGCCTTAGGTAAGGGGAGCACAGGAGTATCCGTACTCCGTACCACCAAAGGGAAAGACCGGATCTGCTGCGCAGCTGCTGTGGCTTGAATTTCTCGCCGCGGGAGGGAAGGACAGGAAAAAAAAAAGTCATCGCCTTGTACCATCTACCCGCCTTTGGCTGCCAATTGCCTCAACCACGAATCTTGAGCACGATCTACTTAATCCAGATGCTGTCGGACTCTTTCGCGATTCTTTTGACACTCTTTTGATTCCCTCCAGATCACTATAGGAGCCATGCAGCTCCGTACGGGAGCAGCGGTGCTGCGCAGCACTTCGATAACGTCACGATCTATCCTCTCCTCCTCTTCCTCCCGATGTTCGCAATGCCGACGAATTACTCCCCTCGATGCCCGGATACCTCGTACCACTGCCCTCTACCACTCATCCTCGAGACGGTCTTCAGCATGGGGCGCCGCTGTGTCTGTTGCGTCCAACATGGCTGCGAATGCCGTCAACCGCGTGATCCCCAAGGGTGACATGCACATCGACCCTCTGCGGACAGTGGCGAAGGAGATGAAGTTCTTGACGGGCAACATCCGGAAGCTTCTTGGTTCTGGTCACCCGTCTCTGGATCGCGCCGCCAAGTACTACACACAGGCAGAGGGCAAGCACATGCGTCCTCTCATCGTTCTGCTCATGTCGAGAGCCACCGCCTTATGTCCCAAGGGTCCCCGGCTCCAATCTGGTCAAGCCATTGGTAGCGTTGATACGGCGATATCTCCCCCGAACATCCTCGTCGACGTCAACCCGAGCTCGCCCTTGACAAGCGCCGTCCCCGAGCCTGTCGAGACCGAATCTGACATCCTCCCGTCCCAACGCCGTCTGGCCGAGATCACCGAGCTGATCCACACGGCATCCCTGCTCCACGACGATGTCATCGATCACTCCGTCGCGCGACGCGGATCCCCTTCGGCGAACCTCGAGTTCGGCAACAAAATGGCTGTCTTGGCCGGCGACTTCCTGCTAGGCCGCGCATCTGTCGCCCTGGCCCGTCTGAGGAACGCCGAGGTCGTTGAGCTTCTCGCCACGGTCATTGCCAACCTTGTCGAGGGCGAGTTCATGCAGCTCAAGAATACTGAGCGGGATGAGCGTAAGCCAGTGTGGTCGGAGGAGGCGCTCACCTACTACTTGCAAAAGACCTACTTGAAGACGGCTAGCTTGATCTCAAAGTCATGCCGTGCCTCGGCAATTCTCGGCGGGTCAGACGCTGCTTCAGTCGAGGCAGCATACGCCTATGGTAAGAACCTAGGCCTCGCATTCCAGCTGGTCGACGACATGCTCGACTATACACGTAGCGAGAAGGAACTGGGTAAGCCGGCCGGCGCCGACCTTGAGCTTGGTCTCGCGACGGCCCCTCTACTATTTGCGTGGAAGACGAATCCGGAATTGGGTGCTTTGGTAGGCAGAAAGTTCGAGCAGGAGGGTGACGTCGCCAGGGTAAGGATGCGCGCACGCAGCAAACGACTTTTGGATTTGGAGAGCAATCTGACTAACACGGTTTCAGGCACGCGAGTTGGTCCTCCAGAGTGACGGTATTGAGCAGACGAGGGCACTGGCCCAGGATTATTCCGAGCGGGCCATTGCAGCCATCAGCGATTTCCCCGAGAGTGAGGCCAAGGACGGTCTCATTGAAATGGCCATGAAGGCATTGAAGAGGACAAAATAAGCGACTGACGGCGCTGGCCGGTCAGAAACCTGTACAAAAAAAAACCAAAAATTCGGAGTGCACGCATTGTGGTAATGTGCGCTCAACACCACTGTACAACAGACCTTTGGGGCTCTTGACAGAGTACATGTAACGATATTATACATCTAGACGGCGCGGCGTGAGGCCAAGGGGGGAATATCATCAGGTTAGAGATGGCACAGGACTTGAGTGCAATACCACAGACAACTTCCCTTTTTTTCGATTACGCAAACGGGGTTCGGCATACGTGCGCAAGGGATGATTTGCTGAAGGGAAAGATGATGATCCTGTGCAGGACAGCCTGCTGAATGGAACGCCAACGACCCTCACCTGATTGGGGAAAATGGGAAACTCTTACTCGATCAGAATTCGGTGAGGTCTAGACGGCAGTCGTGACGGCAGGGTCCAGAAGAGAGAAACCGGCGAGCTCCGTGGAGAAGCGGTTTCCATTACGTTGCTGGATCGCTTCTAGATGCTCCCTTCTAGACGCAGCGTGGTAGAAGACGGCACTGTGATGAGATGCATGCATGGGTCGGTCAGGGACCTGCAAAGCTTATACGACAATAGTCAAGGCCCGATCCGATGCTCGCTGAACTCTGGCGCAGCCTGCTTGTTCTGAGAAAGGCGGCAACCTAGCAATTCGTCTAGACTTCCATCCGGAAAACAAGATTTCATAATCGCAAACACGTCAAGCACGGTTCAAACAAACCATGCGTAGCTGCAATAGCCGCTGGACGTTCCGGAAACGAAGTATGGCTATAGGGATGGTTTCCCGGAGGTTGGTAAACGGATGAATGGTGTGATCGGAAGAAAGGGAGCCGGCTGTCGGGGCCGGGATCGCTCATCCCAACAAATGAGACATTCCTCGGTTGGAGATGACTCGGTCGTCTAAGAACTCCACGGGGGGCGGCGGCTGTGTCACGGCGGCGCCGGGTGTGTGGATCTTTTTTCTCTCATCTTTCATTCGTTGTCCATTATCGGTAGCCAAGATTGGGACACAAAGCGGACTTTTTCTACTGCCTTTATCGCGATGTCATCGAGTAATACCAAACTGCTGGCCAATGGCAGATGAAGAAGATGGGTTGTCACCAAATTCAAATTGGTAGTAATACGCGCCGCGGCCGGAAAATGTCTTCACGAAAGAGAAAAAAATCAAGAAACTAGAGTTCCCGGGACTCGCGAGGCGCATAACATTGGCGGGCCAGATGCCCCGAATGAGCGGTGTTTTACTCGATCATTACTCGATCGAAACTCCCAAGTGAAGCTTAGACGACGCCTCGGGTGCAGCAGCGGCAGTGGAGCCCGAAGTAATAAGCACACCGACGCAGGACCAAGGCAGGGGGAGTTCAAGGCTCTGGACCTGTCAGAAGGGCAAACCAGAGCCATATGGAAACCGAGAAAAATAAGCCTTCGATGTTCCCGAAAATGGCCGATGAAGAGTCAAGAACGGTGATGGGCTTTGTTTGTACTTTTGTGGTGGATTGTCAGTGTCAAAGACTCAAGGTACGGAGCAGAGGCATTTAGAGCAGCACATGCTTTTCCTCATTCGCTCAGCCCGTGATGACTAAGGCGGTCTAGATCGGGAAACGGCTGTGTCCGACGACACATCCAGCCAATCAGCTGCGGCTGATAACGACAAGGGAAGACTTTCGACTTCTTTCAGGGTTCCCCGGGGTCGCGTCGAGATTGTTCGATAGGGTCCCTTCAGCAAAGTAGCCCAGTGGGAGAAGGGTTTCGATAACGCACCCCACACGACGGACACGAACCCCAGTTGCAGAAAGCAGAGGCCGGCGGCACGGGGTTCAATGGTCACTATTGGAGCGCAGGTTGAGCCTTGAGGGGAGCGGGCTTTGAGTCGACTTGAAGAAGGTCGATGACGGGGTAGAAGACTCCCCGGCACCGGGGCCCGAAGGAGAAGGAGATGGCGGTGGGAGAGGGCTAAGCTACCTTACTATGTACCTTACTCTGAAGACTGAGTGAGGAGGGTCTTTTCCTCGTTGGGATTGGCTCAGTGGCTGGTCCCTTGAACTCCCGTGTTCCCCCTTTGTCACATATTCTTCCTGTCACCTCAGAGAACGTTATCTTATCGGAGAGAAGAACTGGAAATGGAAGCCCAGAAGAACGAATGGAAGGGGACCCGTCCTAATCACGTCTGGACTTTCGGGGTGGGCCGTGGATCGAGCCACGAACGGCTTTCCTCTGAGTGAGATTCGGACGGGGGAAGCTGTTCTTCTTCTTTCTCCCCTTCTTCTTTTCTCTCTTCTTTTCTCTACTCAACTTCTCCTTGAACTATCACCACATTGCCTTTCTGTTCACTCATAGTAATTCAAAACCACTACACGAGACCATTCACTTTTTGCTTGAGTGTTTATCTAGGTAGTCCTCACTAAGACCACCCAAACATCTTACACACCTTCAAACCCTTGAAAGCCACACCGGCCATATCTTATCTCTCTCATCACCCCGCCACCCCGCGATCAAGATAAGCTTCGCTCTTCTCCAGACGCAACGGCAAGCTATCCAAGAACGTCCACCGCGGGGAGAGCTCTTCAGATACCGCGGTATTTCCCTTATCGGACCTCCCTAAGCTTCCAAGATAAGCTTATCATAAGCAACCCCTCCATCACTCTTCGTCATGACGGCCTCTCAAGATACCACCACACCCCTCGTGGTCCTTGTCTCGACGCGGGCAGTCCTCACCTTTGAACAAGACAACCTCGTCCTCACACCCGCAACGATAACAGTCTCGCCCGCCACCGGAAAGATTCTCAACATCGTCCCGGCAGTCCTGCCAAAGACCTCCTTCCCGGCCTCCACTGAGTACATCAACTACGGCTCAAAGCTCCTGTTGCCTGGTCTCGTAGATGCTCATGTCCACCTCAACGAACCCGGCCGCACGGAATGGGAGGGTTTTTGGACGGGTACGCGGGCCGCTGCCTCTGGCGGTGTGACGACCGTCGTCGACATGCCTCTCAACGCTATCCCACCCACCACGACGGTGGCTGGCTTCAAGGAAAAGCTTGCTGCGAGTAAAGGACAGTGCTGGGTTGACGTTGGTTTCTATGGCGGTGTGATTCCCGGAAACGCTGATGATCTGCTGCCCCTTGTCGAGGCCGGTGTCAGAGGCTTCAAAGGGTTCTTGATCGAGTCTGGAGTGAGTAGTATCCTGCACCGTGACTGCGCCGGCGGATTCACCCTTTGAAAGATGGTAAGCTGACAATGCGTTCCCCAACTAGGTTGATGAATTCCCAGCAGTCTCATCGCAAGACGTGGCCCTCGCCATGAAGAAGCTCAACGGCACACCCACGACGCTCATGTTCCACGCCGAGATGATCCCTCCCATCTCCGACTCGGTAGGCGACGCGGTCCAACAGTCTGAGCCGCCGCTGGCTCCCACCGGCGAGCTCAACTCATACAAGACCTTCCTCGAGTCCCGCCCGCCTTCGTTCGAGACGTACGCTGTCGAGGAGATCCTGTCCCTGGCCCACCTCGCACCGGACCTCCACCTCCACATTGTCCATCTCTCAGCCACACAGGCCATCCCCCTGCTCAAGGATGCCAGAGCCAAAGGCATCAACATCACGGCCGAGACGTGCTTCCACTATCTCGGCTTCGCATCGGAAGACATTGCCGACGGCGACACCCGCCACAAGTGCTGCCCTCCTATCCGTGAGCGATCCAACCGCGACGGGCTCTGGGAGGAACTCGTGGCAAAGGATTCGTGCATCAAGACCATCGTCTCGGACCACTCGCCGTGTACGCCGCAGCTGAAGCTCCTCCCGAGCCACCTCGAGACCCGCACCCCGCCCGAAAGCCACTCCCCCAACATGCACCACTCGGATTCCGGTATCGATATGACGATCCCCGGCGAGAGCATGGACAAGATCCTCGCGGAGAAGACGCTAGAGGACGCGGCGGTGGCCGTGGCGGACGCGAGCTCGCGGGGCGACTTCTTCGCCGCGTGGGGCGGTATTTCATCCGTGGGTCTGGGTCTACCTATCGTCTACTCCGAGGCGGTGGCGCGCATCGCTGCTGAGGGTGAGGGTGCGGCGCCGTCGATTGTTGATATTGTGCGGTTGTGCAGTCAGTCGACGGCGAAGCAGGTTGGTCTTGCGCACCGCAAGGGCGCGCTCAGGGTTGGTATGGATGCTGATATCTGCGTGTTTGACGATGCGGACGCGTGGACACTCAGGTCTGGAGATATGCGGTGGAAGAACCGCTGCTCGCCGTGGGAGGGTCATGAGTTTGCTGGTCGGGTAAAGGAGACGTGGGTCAGAGGCCGCAAGGTGTTTGAGTTTGGAGGAAAGAATCTTGGATTTGTTGGTGAGAGCCCGGTTGGTGAGGCTATTACGGAGACGCGCACGGCGTAGTCGAGCTGGGCGCTGGATGAGGAGAGAGGATTCATATGAAGAGTTGGATGAGAAAGTAAAAGAGAGAAGGATAGATCGCGACGAGAGCATTAGCCGGGTGATGATTTAATGAGGTCTGAATTAGGACAAATTGATAATGTAAAACAAAACCACTTCATGAACGTCAACTCATCATCACTAATCGTGATGTGGAAAGGAATGAAGTATGAGATATTGAACTGGATCTCAACTGCGAGGGCTGGGATGAATGTCATGTGCGTGTAGTGAGACATGATCCCAATCCTAGTTGGTGATTGGACAGGTCTGATAACATTGAGCAGTAACGACTTGAATGAAAAAAGTGGGCAACTTCTAGAAGTAACTTTGCTGCACAAGCTGGATATAAGGTAGCTTGCGAATGAGGAAATGCCATGTGTACATCGCCATGCCTCTTCAGTTTGCATGCTGTGTTACACTCCAGTCTTTGTTTCCGAAGACAATGGAATGGAAGCTGAGTGAGAGCCGCGGGGTTGATGCTCATCTAATGTTCCATGCCTTTGACCGGTGATGATGTAAACTTGAGTACCTAACTAAGTACTAAGGTCCCTACCTGTGCCGGCCCTGAAGGTACGAGGGGTACCAAAGGCGGGAGAGACGGGGCGGCCCAAGCTCCTAGTCAGTGGACCGTGTTCCTTCCTTCATCGCCATCCTACCGCAATTGTGGGTCCCACCTTCCACTCGCGTTTTTTTTTTTACTTCGTCAACGGCACCTCGTACGCGACCTTATCTTGGCTGTGGAAGGCACCAACCTGGAAGGAGCAAGCACCTTCTCATAGAGGGCAGCTCCCCAGCGCACTTTTCTTGCGACGACCCTTCTCGGCCCCTCCTGCCAGTCGTCCCTTCCCAATTGTTCTGCGTCCCTGCGCCGCCGGTCGCCCTGGTGGAAATTTCACCATGTTCAACTCCATCTCGAGAATCTTCAACCGATACACGCCCACCAAGAACTCTTCGCCTGGACCTACTAGACCAACCCGCGACGAAAGCGAAGATCGGATATTCCCTTCAACTGCGCCGGCCGAGTACCCCGACGGAATTGACGACAGACTGTTGGGCAGAATGGCGGACGAGGACGAGACCGGTCTCGACACATTTAACGACTACGTCGACCCGTTTTCTTCCATGGTCCCTTTCTCGACCCAAGCGAACGATGGAGGAGGTGCTGCGGATGCCGCGTATCCTTCCGACGAGGACCATAGCGTGAAGAAACGAAAGTCCAAAAAGTCCAAGAAGGACAAGAAGGATCGCAGCAAGAAGGGCAAGAGCAAGGCGACAGACCCAGAACACTCGGATGCAGGCCCCTCATCTTCCATCTTCAGTGGCCAAATTGGACCTTCCAGTGACGCCATTGTGGCCGATGACGATATCACTTCTTCGCCCCAACTGAAGAAAAAGCGCAAGCGTGAATCGGATAATCCTAGTGCGCTAGGCGCGTCGCACTCGTCGGATCGGAAAAAGAGGAAGAAGAAGAAGAAGACGCGTCGTTCTCTCGAAGATGTCGACATGGAAGACGTCGAGCCCGAGGATATTGTGCCTGAGTCGCCCGAGGACACCAGCATCGCCCAACCTATCGTTCACAGCCCCGCCTCCGAGGCCGATCCCCTCGAGATCAAATACGAGTCACAGCAGTCGCAACTGCTCGGTGTCCCCAGGCCATTCTTTACTCAACCTTCCGGCACACCTGTGTTGCCAAGTCCAGATGACAACGAGTCCGATGATGACCAGAACGGACCGGCGTCTTCACCCAGTGTTGCAGCGCAGAGGCGCAGGAGCATGTCACGGGGGTCTCAGATCTCCCTCCTACGACAGAGCCTTGCCAAAGAGGCCGCAACTCAACCGCACGATACGGCAAAAGCCGTGGAGTCTACGGACGACGCAATGGAGGAGGACGTGGCAACCGCCTCAGAGGAGGAGGATTCGGCGGAGGCCGCTCAACGAACCTCGCCAATCGTCGAACCACCTGAAGATGATACATTCGATCGGGTCAGTGTTGATAGTGACCAAGACGTGGATATGGACGTAACTGCGAACCAGCCCTCTTCGCCGGGATCTCTCGTCGAGGATGACGAGGACGCACAGTCTGGTCACGGGTCCTTGGCCGATGGTCTTCCCCCGTCATCACAAGCCCCGAGAGAAAGCCCGTCAAGTACACACAGCGAAGACATGGAGGAAGAGGAGGAGGTCGTCCCAACCCCTCAGCTGCCAATCAAAACTTTCCGCGATGCACTCCGAGGTTCAGCCAAAAAGCTCACTACTTATTCCAAGAAGGATGCAGCTGTTGAGAGGCCGGCCACGACGCCGCGAGCTACTCGACGTCGCAATGCCCAGCCAGACGAAGAACAGCCCTTTGATGTTGGCAACTTGCCTAGTTCGGCTCAGAAGTCTACCCGCTCCACGGCATCCAAGAAGCAGCGCTCCAAACCGGACTTCTTCGAAAAGTCAACATCAGTCCAAGAGACACCAGAGAATCTCGAGGTGGCAGAGAGTGCGGCTCGTGAGATCCAAGAGGACGGCGAGGATCAGGAGCCCGAAACTGCAGAAGCCCCAGTCAAGAAGCCAGCATCGACCAAGACCGCAAAGCCTCAGATGAAGCTCAAGAAACCCAAACAGACAGTTGCCTCTCGCACACCCGCAACCGCCACACCGAAGCCCGTAAAGGCGAAAACGCCAAAGAAGGCTCCCCAGCCCAAGGGAGCGCCTCAGGGACCACCTGAATATATCACCGGCCAATTCTCCCATGAAGAGATGCGCAAGCTCAGAGAAGTTGTCGAGAAGTATCGAGAAGAGAACGACCTGTCACAAGAGGAGATGAACAATCTTATCCAGATGAAGCAGCGCACAAAAGTGTCTAAGACGGCTATCCCATATGACGGCGAGAAATTCCTCCACCTGTGGAATTACATTTCTGCCGCTCTTCCTGACCGGCGCCGCCAGAAAACTATCGATGTTGCTCGCCAGAATTTCCACAACTTTAAGGCTCGCGGAGGAGGATGGACTGCCAAAGAAGATGTTAAGCTGGCGATGCTGTACGCCAAACATGGTAATTGCTGGATCAAAATTGCAGAAGAGCTGGGTCGCCACGAGAAGGATGTCCGCGACCGCTACAGGAACTATGTCATTTGTGGCCGCACGGAAGGCCGCAATTATTGGACTGAGGAGGAAGAAAAGGAATTGGTTCAGCATGTCATCACCTTGCTCAGACGGACGGACCGGTCACCTTCGAAGATTCAACAGCCTTACGAACCCATGATCAACTGGCAGACGGTCAGTGAGCTGATGGGCCGCAAGCGCACTCGTCTGCAGTGCATGAGAAAGTTCAAGACTCTCAACGTGGAACTTACCCCCAGCGAAGTTCTGAGGTCTTCGCGCCCCGCGTCAAAGGTCACCTGGACTTTGGAGAAGGCCCGCAAGCAGATCCAAGAAATGCCGCCCGAAGATAAACATAAAATGGTCCGGGCTATCCTGGCAGGAGGCGCCGGTCGCGACCGATTGATTCAATGGACGAAGCTCGCCGACTTGGAGTTCCGCAGGAAGTGGCCTAAGAAGACTCTCCATTTGCTATGGTATCGTCTAAGGCAGCGTGTCCCCGATCAAAAGGAAAAGTCAGTTAGGGACTGTGCCCGTTGGTTGCTGGAGGATGCCAAGGCGAGTGGCCCCCGAGGTGCCAAAATACTCGGCGGAGGGGACACCAACTATGATACCGAGACCGAGATGGCTGTCGTTGATCCTCCCAAGAAAACCAGCCGTCGAAAGAGCCTGAAAAATGAGCCACGCAGTGCTGAACTTGTGGTTGACAGCGACGACGCTTCCGACGACGAGAACAACAACAAAGACGATGACGACAATGTCTCTGAAGCCGATGAGGAAGATGAGACCAGGCTGACAGAAGGTGATTCTCCGTCTACACGGCAGTCATCAGCCCAATCGAATCGACTCCTGACTGATTCTATATCGAATGCTCTCTCTGCGTCTCCATCTCTCCAACCTGCTGGCATTTCCAGACTTCTCCCCGTCGAAGCGGAAGACGCTAGGCCTAGCCCTGCTAAGAAACGTGTCAGGCTTTCTGGAGGAACTTCATCCAGACAACGGTCTATGGAGAATGATGGCAGTTCACCAGAGCCAGTCGCCACACAGTATGCGGCCGAGAAGATTCCCGACCGCCTCAAAGAGAAGAGAGAAAAGGCCAAGAGGCGTATCTCTTCCGGGATCAGACTTCGAACAGCGGCATCACTGCAACCGGAGTCGGTGCAGAACAGCGATGTTGACGAAGACATGCCACCGATTCGCGTCCCACCTTCCACAGCACCCGCATCTGTCAAGAGCAGAAAAGCGGACAGGCGGGTGGGCGACTGGGCCAGAAAGACTGGAGGCCCCGAGCCGCCAGGCCTGCCGGCACCAGTCAGCGACGAAAACGATGAAGACATGTCGCCGGCTCCCGCCCCGCCCTCGACCGCTCCCTCAGGGTCTAAGGGTCGGAAGAGAGCAAACAGACTCAGGGACTGAACCACCAAGTGGACAGCTTGGGTTGCGATTTCACGCTGCGATGGATGTGCAACTAGATTGTTGTACAGGTTTCACATCTTCTCAAGTCACTCGAGTAGTGTGGTAGTGTACATGATGATACCCCGCGAGGCTGAGGTACGATGTTTACTCGAGTGTCGTTATTGATGGATAAGGTTTAGTGGCCAGGGTGCCGCAGAGAATACTATCAGAGCGGTCAACGTTCTGGGCCAAAAGCAATGGCAGACCACAGCATGGGCAAAGCAGGTTCAGGCACGTCACACAGCATTTGTTATGAGGGTTGTTTTTCGGAGTGGATATCGATTGTTCAAGGATGGGAATTGTACATAGCCTAGTAGCTGCGAACCCCATCATTATCGAATGGTTCAAAACAAGTTGTGTTGAAGCTCTTTCTCAGATGTCAAATTCCGACGTTCCATTGTACTTTGTGGAATCGTCAGTTGAGTTGTTTGTCGTGAGGAATTTACGTCATTGGTCATGACTCGTCGGTGGCCAGTCGAACCACCCGAACGATAACGAGGTTTGAATTTTTTCACTCGGCGATTTTTCCTAAGCCTAGTGGAATGTCGTCATAGGACGACTACTTACTCATGAATCAGCTACCGCAGCTATCTCGCAACTGAGAATCTGTCTCGCGCCTAGTCGATAAGCCGCCATCAGGAGTAATCCAGCTTTATCTCCGACCGTCACGGATCCATCTGCCCACTTTTTCAACACCCGTGCCGCTGTCGCCGCCACCGTAGGGCTGTGACGTTCCGTGGCGAGAGACGATGTGTGTGTACTCTATACCGTGACAGCGTCCAGGCTTTTTTGGGAAGTACGGTCGATAAGGTAAACCCGCGGGATGAAGTGGTGGGATGGATAATCGGCTCTCGCCCGAGAACGGGGGAACCCAGCGGAATGGGAAAGGAACTTATTCCCCATGTACGGTACATGCGTGTCAACTGGGGGTTGACTGATGCGTGCTTTTGCAGCGCTGTACACGTGTACTGGAGAACCCGATGAAGCTGTGATGACAAAGTCGTGTACTTACCCAAATGGCGAGTCCCAGGGCAGTGGGAGAAGGGGTGACACACAAAAAAAGAGTGTGACGGCCACGCACTCCGAGCCCAAGACGCGACGTCATCCGGGGGAGGTGATGTGTAGAATTTCTAGAATGATTCAACATGTGTGAATCTTCCGACATCTGGGGAAAGGATAACGGGGTGTTCCAGAAGACAGCACTGCATGCGTTTCTGTACCACGGCCGTTCCGTGCGGGGTCTTCTTTCTTCTCCATCGCGCGTTGTCGGATGTCATTGTCACGATGGCTTCACGTACACAGTACCCCGGAGCAAGTTCCGCGCGACGCGCGCGTGCGGAATTTTCTCTCTAGAATCAACAGTTGTGGCGTCATTGTTCCGTCGCGGAGGGAGTCGGCGCGACACGGGGTGTCTGCAAACGGTCCTTGTCGGGATCGGTATCGAAGTTTGGCCCGAGTCAGGACGACCTGGGCACCTTGACACTGGAAGTAGGTAGATCAGCAAACGCCGAGAGATCGGAGAAACATCTGGAGGCGATCATCCCGGGCGTTTCGGAGAGGCAGAAGTAGGGAAGCTCCAGTGGTTACGGGTAGCATTGGCAATTGTTGATGGGGAGGCACTGGTATTAGTATCGGCGTCGGCGATAGCAGCATCAAACATCGCGATTGTCACCGACCGTTCAAATCCGTGGAAATGCGCGCGATGGACAGTCTCGTTCGCAACAGACGGGAATCTAGAGTGAGTGGAGGGTACGAAATACTTTCGAGGCTGAGAGCGGAAAGCACAAAAAGGGGAAAGACGAGCCTCAGCCTCCAGCAACCTCACCTTGTGAGAACCTGAAAAGTTGAACGTCGAGCTCACGGAAAACATCCGATCAGACCACCGGACGAAAAGCGGGGCCCTCAGGGACCGACCGCAGCGGCGTGGCCGCACTTCGGGCCCTTATGGTGGTTTTACGGATAGTTGATGGGGCGGGGGGCCCCGCCGCGATGAAAGACACTCACAGTCTCACACGGTACACCCCTCTCCCCCCCCTGGGCGGATCCGCATTCAAGGCGTACGGCCGAGGTGAGGCGAGAATTTGCGCGCGCAATGGGCCACCTTTTTTTCAGAAAAGATCCGAGTTAGTGCCTTGAGATCTAATTTGAGCCACAGCCTTCCATGGACTGTTTATCACCTACGTGGCAGTGTGGTGAAGTTTGAGCCTAGAGGCAGTTGTGTGAGCCACAGCTTCTCAAGTGAGGTGGCTTGACCTTACCATGGTAGATTGGGCCTCGAGTTGTTTCACGATAGATTCGTCCATCGTGAGCTTCACCACCAGTGGTAAGTCATTTGCTGTCTTGATATTGACCACCTCTCGCTCAAATTTCTGTGCAATCCCCCCTTCCACCACTCCGTAGCTCCTCATGCCCACTTCTCATTCAACCGTGAAGCAAATTTTCATGGTCTCGTGTCGTTGCGAGTTCCTCACTTGTCGGCCCTTTTCCTCTCGCGTGTAAAAGAGACGAGAAGACTCTTACCACAATACTCCATCATACTCCCCCTTTTCCCTCACTCTGGGCCTCTGGGACTGGGAGTTTCCACATATCATGAATGACCAGGCCGTGTACGCAGTAGGTAGCGGTTGCCATTTGGCCGGCAGCACATTTCGTCGCTGTTTCGCATAGCTTCGTTACTCGTAGCTGGCGTAGGATGGGGCTCAATACTCGGCGTGCTCTCGCGGTAATCGTGGAGTCGTGGCCGAGTCTCGGTGCTTTTCTGGTTCTCTCGTGTCTCTCGTTAGAAGGTAGACTCCACGACTCCCCATCGTGGACCAGACCAAGGGGATGCCGGCCGGTGAAGTGGGTTGTGCAATGATCTGGCTCAAGGGACGAGACTCGTCGAGCCGTGAGCCGCATCCATAGCCCTCAATAGCTCCTATAGCTCTCATGTTTCTCTAGTCTTTCATTCGACGAGTCACGAGTATCTCTCGCTACAACCCTCCCCTCTCACTCTCCGAGACTCTGCCTCCCGTTGAACGTTGACCGACAGTGGCGCCAACGGTATGCAAACCTAGTAGACGGTCGGGCGGTTATCAGGAACCAGGCGCGCTAGAAGCAACGGGAGCAAGCCACAGAGCGAGGGACAGATACGGATGCAAGGTGTCCAGGCGTATCTGCGAGCTAAGGCAGCCTAGTAGGGGCGTGTCGCGGCGGCATCTGCTTGCCGGGCCGAAGAGGACCAACAGGGTTCAGGGGGTGGGGGTCCCGTCAGCGGACAGGGGAGGAGATAACATTTTTTTCTTTTTACAGTCAAGCAGTAAACGCCAGATGGAAAACAAGAAGAAGAGTGTGAACTGTGAAGAGAAAGGGCAAGGTGGATGGGGCAGGGGTGCAGGGGTCAGTGTCTAATCGGACCTTGCGTGGGCCAAGCTGCCATGCGATGCCATGCGGCTGCGTTGTGGACTTGTGGTTTTCTTTCGCAGTCATTGCAGCCTTTGCAGCCCTTTGTGGTGAAGGTTGTTATTCTCGTGATCTGACATGACCGTGGTGCATATGTCGGTCCGGGGAATGAGGTCTTGACCGGACGATGTGATGCGTAGCTCGGGGTATTTTTTTGATTTTATGATACGATGGTATGGTCAAAGTGTGCATGTCGTGGTAAACCCGGGTCTGTGATGTGTCGATACCTATTCGGAGTATGTGCGGTGCAACTATTCAAAAAACCACAAAATCCATGATATTCCCAGAATCCCAGTGACAGGCCATGGCATGCCAGATGGCAGATGCCGCCCGTGCGGTGGAGATCTACCTTACCGTAAAGTACGTACCCGGGAAGGAAGATGCGGCGACGGCACGGTACTTGGGCCCAAAATGTGGATGCCCTCTTATTGTTTTTTTTTTCCAAGTGGTTCTCTGCTTGTTTCCCTTTCTCTTCATTACTTTGCATGTCCCTGTTTACCACGTCGGTTTCTTTCCGCATCTAAGCATACGTGGACGAACAAGTGCATCGTCTGATGTTATGATGTGAGCGAATGTGGTTCCAGGGCTCCAGCGATCTTTTCTCGAAGAAACGGAATGGTTCAATCGAAGGGCAGGGAACCTGACTCTCTCTCCCGTACGTGTGTATGACAGACCTGCACGTTAAGCTTTGAGTTTGTCAGTCCATCAGTCAGCCGTGCAGCATATCCTGTTCGCGATGCTAGCAATGCTACTGTGTACCTAGGTAGAGCGTAGGCCAAGCAAGGCCAGCCGCCAGGCCGTCGTCACTGTCACTCAATCAATCAAACTCCCGTCCCTCCATGGCATGGCGCATACCAAGATGATCAAGGTTACGTGCCTCTTCACAATTCCGTGGTGCGGTGGCACGGTGGTATGGTGGCAGCATACGCGACGGGACCTGCATCGGTGCATCCTGACCCTGACGTCAATCGGAGGCTTCGGGATCTCCACCAACAACGAACGAAGTCCTGGACAGCGGGCGGATCATCTCGTGCAATTCCGCACTAGAGAGATTCCAGCAGCACGCCAAGGATAAAGGGTCCGATTAGTGTAATTGTGGCCCGTCCAATCTGGGCCTTGACTGCTTTCTGGATTTGTCGCCCTGCCTCTGCCTGCAAGCACGAAGACAGATCCTGGACAGGGAAGCCAGATCCATTCGGCGAGTTCCAGCTATCACCGCGAATAATTTGTGGTGACCCTGCCGCATACGCCGTCGTCTCGGCCTCTTTTCGAAAGTCTGGTCTGCGGTCCCTGTCACCTTGCCTTTTGCTTGAACCACCACCACTCTCTGTAGTGCTCACTGCTCGCTCACACCGGGGAGCCTCATGTTTAGACCGACTCCTCTTAGTGGCCGAGCATTGGACCGAATAATTGCAATGAGACTCGACGTCAATCATCAGCTCACGGGGCACACCCCTTCCCTTGCCTACCGTCCCCCCCAGTACACCGTGCACACCAGATCCAGTTACTTGACGGTGTCGGGTGCTGGACGGTGCCACGGTGGTTGCTTGAAGCTCAGCTGCGTCGGCCGGAGGTACTCGGCGCAATGTACCACCAACGTCACTCGTGAGGCTCGCGACACGGCGAGAGCTATGGCCATCCGGCCCATCGGCGGCGGTCCCACCGTCCCAAGAGGTTCCAGAGGTTCCTCCCAAGGTACCTAGGTAGGCCCTCTCACTACAACCACAACCGTCAATTTTCAAAGTCACCCTGGTCCGACATGTCACCACGGTCACGGTATTCTCTCTCGCGACTCTCCGCCCGCGAGACGACTGGGCCAGAACCACCACTACCACCACGTCGTTCTTCACCCGGTCTTCACCCGCCATTATCCCACAGTCCAGCCCACACACGTACGTTGCTGCCCGCACTTTTCTTGGTTCGCCCACGGGCCCCCGACTTGTCCGTTTGATGCATGTTGTTGTGGACTGTGGGAGTGTGTGGGAGTGTGGGTTAGCCAGTACCAGCAATGTGGGTATCGTTTTCTTCCTTTCCTTTCGTTTTTTTTTTTTTTTTTTTCGTTGTTTAGCAAGCAAACCAAGATGTCCATGCCCACCCCGGCTGCCCTGCTTGGTCAGAGACGTGATCATGAGGCATGAAAAGCACCTTTCCATCAGTCAAAGTGTGGAAACGCATGCGGAGGCATACGGGGATATACGGGGAGTGAAATGGGTTCCCAATGGGTGAGAACGGGGTGAGCATCTGCTCATTCCTTCCTTGCTTGCTTCCTTCCCTTCTTCGCGCCTTCCGTCGTGCTTTCCGCCATGCCATGCCATGCCGTGCAAGGTAAGGTACCTCTCCTTCCGTGCTTCCTTCCATACCTTTGCCAAGTACCGAAATAAGGTGAGCACCTACCTTATGGTACATCCCTTACCTTAGTAAGTACTAGGTAAAGTAAGTGACTTGGGTAAGGTAGGAAGCAAAGTGAGGAAGGTACGAACCGGAAAGTAGGTACGTCCCAACCCGGAGCCGTGGTCGCGAGACCCAGTCCCCGGGCACTCCCCAGTCACGCCGTACCTTCCCAGTCAACCCAGACTACTCCGTACCTTACCTATGGAACTGTGGGAAGGACCTGCTCGTCTCCTGACCTCTTTCCTCTAATACAAAAAGAATCCTTTCCTTCCCCCATCGTTGACTCTTGGCCCCCTTTCCTCCTTCCCATCCCACACTTCTCCAGACTAATCAGAGTTTTATCTCAACTACCTTGTCCCTCTCCACACCTCAACAGCTCAAGGCAGGTATAATACCTTCCTTCCTCCCTCTTCCTTCTTCTTGAAGCAGACACCCAACAACCTCAACACCAACAAGAACCTCGTTCTCACCCAGAGACATCACCACCCTCGGAACCAACAGACTTATCTCTCCCGCCTCTACATCCTCCCCTGGATCGAGAACACCAAACCCACCCCCACATCATCCATCCCCATATCGACGCACATCGTCAGCATCGCCCATCATGCAGTTCCCCAAGCTCGGTGGCAAGGGCGTAGAGCATAAGGACCGGACGGAAGCCGACGCTCCCACCTCGGATTCCAGCTCCGACATCACGGCTGAGCAGAAGATTACCTTCGCCGCCGCTTTCCTCGGCCTCGTTGCCAGTATCGGTGGTTTCATGTTCGGTTATGTCAGGTATGTCTTACTTCCCCGGAGAAGGGGGGGGGGGGGCACCTCTCCGCCCCGCCCTCCTCCATCTGAGACCTACATGTCTCGCCGGCCGTTCCGTTTGCTGACCCTTTGTTCCTCACAGTGGTCAGATTTCCGGTTTCTTCCTTATGGAAGACTTCATGCAGCGCTTCGGTGAGCCCCAGAATGGCACCTACGTCTTCAGCGCCGCTCGCCAGGGTACCATCGTCGGTCTCTTGTGTATCGGCTGTCTCGTTGGTGCTCTTACTGCCGGCAAGCTCGCCGACACTCTCGGCCGTCGCATGACCATCTCGCTCTTTGCCTTCTTCTCCTGCATTGGTATCGTCATCGAGATCTCCTCCACCACCAAGTGGTACCAGTTCGCCATTGGCCGCCTCGTCAACGGCGTCGGCATCGGTGCCCTCTCCGTCGTCGTTCCCATGTACCAGTCCGAGTCTTGCCCCGCCATTATCCGCGGTGTCATTGTCTCCACCTACCAGCTCTTCATCACGCTCGGCATCTGGCTCGCCGAAATTGTCAACTTCGCGACCCACAACAAGGCCGGCTCTGCCTCCTGGCGCATCCCCAACGGTCTCGGCTTCGCCTGGGCCCTCATTCTCGGTGCCGGTATCCTCCTCCTTCCCGAGTCCCCCCGTTACGCCTTCCGCCAAGGTCGTGAGGACGAGGCTCGCCGCAACATTGCCAAGCTTGCCGGAGTCGAGCCCAATGCCGCCTCTGTCAACCTCCAGATCGATGAGATCCGCGCCAAGGTCGCCGAGGAGTCTGCTGGCGCCGACACCAGCATCTGGGAGATCTTCACCGGCCCCCGCATGTTCTACCGTACCATTCTCGGAATTGTGCTTCAGGCCGGTCAGCAGCTCACCGGCGCCAACTTCTTCTTCTACTTCGGAACCACCGTCTTCTCCGCTACCGGTCTCAGCGACAGCTACGTCACTCAGCTCATTCTCGGATCCGTCAACGTCGCTTGCACCTTTGGCGGTCTGGTTGTCGTCAAGAAGTCCGGTCGCCGCATTGCTCTCATCGTCGGTGCTCTGTGGATGATGATGTGCTTCTTCGTCTACGCCTTTGTCGGTCACTTCGCTCTTGACACCGTCACACCCTCCAACACCCCCCAGGCCGGCGCCGTTCTCGTTGCCTTCTCTTGCCTGTTCATCGCCGGTTTCGCCACGACCTGGGGTCCTCTCGTCTGGGCTGTCGTCGCTGAGCTGTACCCTGCTCGCTACCGTGCTCCCGCCATGGCTCTTGCCACTGCCTCCAACTGGCTGTGGAACTTGTATGTACCCCTGACTTTCAACTGCAAAAACTATTCAACTAACTCCTTATCAGCCTCATGTCCTTCTTCACCCGATACATCACCGATGCCATTGACTACCTCTACGGTCTCGTCTTCGCTGGCTGCTGTGCTGCCCTGGCTGTCATTGTCTTCCTCTTCGTCATCGAGTCCAAGGACCGCACCCTCGAGGAGATTGACACCATGTACGTCCAGCACGTCAACCCCATCACCTCTGCGAAGTGGCGCGGCGAGGTGCACAAGCACCACCACGAGTCCGCCAGTGAGGAGGAGAAGGTCAATGCCACTGCTTAAGCGCATTGATTGCTTTGGCGTTTGAAATGTCTTGTGCATTGGAAACACCGCAAACATACACATATTGCATTCTGTTCCCCTCTAGCTTTCTAGGCCAGAGAGAAAAGACCTGTATCATACAAACTTCATTGCGACGGCGTTGGGTGGCATCTTGTATTCTTAAGAGAATTCGTTCATGAGGAATGAGAATTATTTAATTGATCAACATTCAAAAGACTTTGGTACATACAAGTGATACATGTCTATATTACGGATCCGACGCAAGAGGATCGATTTGCTTACTCGGTTGAATGGTCATGAGAAGGTTTAGGTATTATCGAGATGTACTTCACTTGCCCTTTTCAAGCTCATTAAACAATATCAAGAAGTTGTTTATGTATTGGAGTTATGTCTCTGTGGCTTGCCCTCTTCTAAGTCTAAAGGACGAGGGCTGGGAGCCAATGTATGTCTGCCTCCTTTCCGTGTTACCGGCGCCCACCAACGATTACCAGATGATATGATACCATTGAAACTAGGCCACGTTGGTTCAACAATTGTGAGTAAGGCTGAGCGCAACGGAGCGCAGCTCCGCGACGCCTAGCAAGTATCTGACAAGCCAGATCTCGCCTTATGTATCAGGTTCGAAAAGGGGTCATTGTATGCGATGCCAAAGTCACACAGTTGAACTCAATCCCCATCCCTTCATCTTCTCCATCTCAGTCACCTCACTTGCGCAACTTGGCAACGATGGCGTTGTACGCAGGCTTGGGGTTCCAGTTCTCGTCAAAGAGCAGGGGCTTGGCGGTGGCCATCCACGACTGCTTGTCGCTGACGCCCCAGACGGTGACGCCCTTGCACTTGGGCACGTTGAGGCAGGCGCCGACGACGGTGGCGTAGTCGTTGGGGGGCGCGCCGGGGATGTCGAGCTCGGTGATGGCGATCTCGGAGGCGCGGGAGCGGGCGAGGGCTTCGAGGGCGGCTTGGATGTTGCCGGACATGTTTGCTGCCAGGTGGGCTTGGGAGCCTGTGTGGTGTTAGTCGTCTCTTGATTTTGTCATAGTTGTTTGACCCCCGTCTCTCATGAATGACTCTCCGTCTTTGAGCATCTTCATCTACGGAGTACTTCTCCATGGGGCTGAGGGGGTGGAGGTGACTGGAGGTAAACTCACCAATACCGTCAATGGGGATGCCCTGCCCAATCCACTGGTTCACCTTGTTCACCATGGCCGTGACCTTGCCCCAGCCGGCGTTGTCGAGGTTGTAGTCGTTAATGTACAGCTTCGCCGCGGGATCCGCGAGGCGCGCGGCGCGGAAGGCGACGCCGATGTACGCTTCGCCCAGGACGTTGGAGAAGGCCGTGCTGCGGATCGTGCCGTTGTCGTTGAAGGCTTCGTTTACGACGTCCTGCGCATTGTCAGTTTACGGTGAACTCATACCAGATGTGTGAGAACGGAGAGGAACCGTTTCAAGTAAGTCAAAGAACATACCCATGACCTGATCTTGCCCTTGTACTTGCCCACAATCGTCTTGACGTGCGTCTCAATCACCTTGGTCATGGTCGCCTTGTCCTTGATAGCAGACACCCACGCCGGCAAAGCCTGATGCCAGAGCAAGGTATGGCCCCTGATGCTCTTCCCGTTCTGTTGCGCAAAGTTGACGAGGAAGTCCGAGTTTGTGAAATCAAAGTTGCCCCGCGTCGGCTCGGTGGCGTCCCACTTCATCGAGTACTCGGGCGTCACCTGGCCGAAATTCTGCTGGATGACGGCGGCGGTCTTGCCCTGCTGCATGATGCCGTTGTCGCCCGAGACGCCAATGTAGAGCTTGCCCTTTGCTTTGAAGAGCTTGTCGATGCTGGTGGGGGATTGGCGGGTGAGGAGGTGGGCGGCGGCGTGGTGGCCTCGGGCGGCGTGAGAGTGAGAGTGAGAGGCCGCGGTGTCGTCGGCGGTGGGGAGGCCGAGGACGGCGAGGGGGGCTAGGAGGAGGGGGAGAGAGAACTTCATTGTGTCTTGTTCGTTTTTGGTTATTGTTGCCTTATTCAAACTGGCGCGGATTTGTGTGAATTTCTACAATGAGTGTCTATGGGTTGAGTGGTTATGATCTAGAATGAGCGTCTGGCGAAAGGAATGAATGACTGAATGAATGAGAAGAAGCAAACACTTTGAAAGAGAAAAGCATTCAAGCAAAGCGCCTAACTGTGTGTGACAAGCTCCGCCATGGGGGACATCTGCCCAACTTATTCAGTTTCCGTCCGGCGCGGAGGCTTGCAGTCCGGGCCTCCCGTTTCTCGCTCTCCCCCCTTGGCAAACATTGGCGCATCTCCAATCGCCCGTGCGGTGGTGGGAAATTTCGCATCAAAGAAGTTTGTTTTTTGGAGACTTTTTTTCTCTTCAATTTGGGGAGGTCGCATTCGCCCGCAAGTCAGGTCAGCAAAGGAGGGAAACCTGCCGTCGGAGATTCAACGTGAGCTCCGGTGCAGAGAAAACAAACATGTCTGTCTGGGTCCTGCGTGCGTAATTTGAGCCGCCACTCGATTGTCTTGGGTTGCGCGCGCATTCCAGAGAAAAAAGAGGCGCGATGCTGCAAAGCCCCCCCATGAAGACCCTCCTGTGCCTGGTGTCGACGATTAAGTGGTTTTACTATAATAGCCTTTGCCGTGTTGAAAATAGCCTTTAATTGCAATGGCAGATCCCCAGTTCTTTCGGGTGGTCCAATCATACTAGCCACAGGGAGCTTCCCTGCCTCTGTTTTCTCTCTTTCGGTTTCTCCAAATCCTCCCACCGGCTGGATAATAGCGAAATCGCCATATAGTAGGTAGCATTTTCACGGAGACTGCGTGCTGGGTTCAGATTTAGCACAGCACAGGAGACTGAAAAAGGAATTAGTGATGGCTCCGTTCCCGTTCCGGCGACCCGGGTCTGCACAATACCCGCAAGCAACATTCCATCAGCCTCTTTGCCCGCTATTTTGGTGCCACAGGATGCATCAACAAAAAAAACGAAAACAATGCGAATGGGTGGAATTCAACAATCTCGGGGACCGGGCTATATATACTCTAGCCGCGCAGCAAAAGTGTTCCAGCCGCGTCGACTCTGCGTGGTCCGCCACGTCGTCAGTCCACGCAACGTCGGTGGTAGCTTGTGAGAAGACGTTGGGCTGCGTCGCGGCCACGCGGGGTGGTCAACTCATCACCTCTTTCTTTTCGTTTTCGCCGTTAGCGACGATAAGACGTTGGCGACATGAGAGACAACTCTCAAAGAGTTCAACGGTGCAATGTGAAGTCTGAACCTTGATATCCGCACTCGCCCTAAGGCGTTGCAACTTAGAGCAACCAAGGACCCCGGTCAGGGGATTCTCGTCTCCACCTACCGGCCCGGACAGAGCGATCGGGAGGATCCATCCCCATGACCTGGACGCCGGGCCCGGATGACATAATTCCCACCCGAGACCAGTGTACCACTCAAAGAGCCGATCCGGCATGGCTTGCCTCATCCTGAACATCAAGAATAATGATGTCGGCTCATCACCCGTACAGCGTATCCTGTTACGCAAACCCTCGTATCACATTCTAAAACACGTCGCTCTTCTATATCCTTCATTCTTTTACTGGCGGTATCGCGAGAGACTCTATTCTCCTGCACTTGTCTGCTTGAGAAATGGACCACAGTAGAGGAAAAACTAGGACGCCGAGTAACACATTGATGATTTCTGCCATGCGTCAAGTCGCACTTCTCCTAGTGAGAACTGCACGAGCCATGCCATTATACATAATCCCCAATCCTCAGGCCATCATTTCTCGTCATAATTGTACAGATACGTATCACACAGTTCCGTCTGTGAACATCCCTTTCCAGACCTTGTTCTCCCCTAATCCTCACACTCCTCCCATACCAAACACTTAGTTCTCGCCATCCTTGCGATTTCTTTTGAACAAGTTACTCAAGAACTTCCGCTTCGAGCCCGACGTGGCCTTGTCTCTGGTCGATGAGGACGCGGAAGAAGCAGCACTATCCTCACTAAGGAAAGTTCTCATTCCCACGGCGTCGTCGCTGTCCGTCGAACGACTCGAGATCGTGTCTCTTCTACCATTCTTGAGCTCAGCCATCGACGCCATCTTACCCAAGAATCGGGAAGGGGCGTTGGCTGATCTTGGAGCATAAGCAGAGCTTGTCGGCTGATTGACACACTGCTGGCGCTGATCGACCAAAGGTGCTGCGACTTCCTGTCAGTATTCAGTTCGACGTTGAGGCCGTGGATAAACTTACTGGGACGAGGAGACATCGCCGCCATGGACGCTGCGGGACGAACTGTGCGGTCTCTTTTGATAGAGAAGTCGGCTCGAGTGACGTAAGGGTCGAAAGTCGTGTCAAAAGCAGACGGCGAAGTGGTGTCAATCGGCTTCAGGACCGGGATGGGCGGCGGCGGTCGAGCGGGAACGTAAGACTTGGCAGGACCAGGACCAAAGTCCACGTCGATGAAGGCAGAGTCAGGAGCCTCACTCTTCGGCTGGGGCTTCGGCGTCTTGGGCTTCGGGATCGAAGGAAGCGGCTTGTTAGGCGCCGGAAGAGGAGGCGCGTTGAAAGGAATCGCCTTCATTGACTGAACTTGGCGAGGGCGACGAGTAGGCGTATCGACGTCGACTTCCTTCTTCGGCGTCAGCGGGCGGTGAGCCATGGCAGCGGAGCGAGGCGACAAGACCTCTTCCATCTCGCGGTTCAACTCGTTTCCGATATCCGTGATGAGTCTCGAAGTTGAACGAGCGACGGTTCCAGTGCTGGCAGCGGATGCTGCGCGGTCGGCGCTTGACGCCGTAGGAGCTGGACTGGGGCTCTTCATCGTGCTGAGCCTCAGCGGCTTCGGGTATGCCTGGGATGCCGAAATTTGAGGGAGGCTCGGGACAGCCCTGCGTCTTCTGACGTGGAGAGATGGAAGCTCCGAGTTGCGAGAGGACTCAATGGCCTCGGTAACAGGGTCTTTTTGAGCCGGCTCTGGTCGTTTGGGAAGGCGCTTCTGGCGGTAGTATGCGGCAGTGTCGGCTGAGGTTACTGAGGAAGGAATGTGAGGGGAAGACGATAGGTTCCTGGTGACAGAGCTTCGGGAGGGCGGGAGAGGATCTTGGGCCCGCATGCTGGAGATTCTTGAAGAAGCTTCCGGAGCCGAGATCTCGGTAGCCACATGGCGTGCATACTTGCTGCTGACCTTGGCATAGTCGCTTTCCAGGCTTGCAGGAGTGCCTTGAATGGGAAGTCGAAAAGAGGCGGCTGTCGACACAGATGTGGCTGTACTCACATGAGATGCAGTCGAGTAGCGATCGTGACGGTCCACGGCAGATCCAGTCGCTTGCGATGAGAAGTTGCTGATTGAACTGGATGGAGCTTCGGAGTATCTGTGATCAGCACTATCATCAGTTTCCTCGTGAACGAGATGAGACTGGGCAGTCTCCGAGCTTGGAACGTATGAGGTAGCTTCGAGGCCAGGTGAGCGACGTGAAGCTCTTTCCTGAGAGTGAGCGACATGGGAAGGAAGGTTCTCTGGTTGGCGCGGGGTCAAACCCTCTCCATTCTCAAGCTCACTGGTCGTAGGCGCCAGCAACATCAAGTCCGTAGAAGAAGGGCGACATCCAGTCAAAGGATGGTGAACTGCAGTGACAGCACTATCCTGTGAGTAAATGGAAGAAGTGTCTGCAATATCAGCTGCATCATCTGAGATGCTTTGGTGAAATGTCTCATCTTCAACCACTGGTGTCAGAGCGTCGTCCAAAGTCTGTTGAGTCTCCTGTCTCCGCGTGACCATTGGCACAAAGACCTCAGTCTGTGCAGATGCCGGAGAGTTGCTCAAAGGGGACACGTTTCCAGTAAAAGGTATTTCATGTAAATGCTCAAAACTGAGAGGCGATACATTGTTTTCGTCTCTGTAACCCGTGGCTGTCAATGTAAACTGCTGGCGATATCTTTCATAAGAAGTTGCAGAGCCATAGCAAGGCGGAGACGCTTCTGTCATTCCACTTTGTGCACGACGTGCAGGTAAGCTTCCTTCAACACTAGTTGTGGATAATGACATAGGTGCAGTGGTTCTTCGAAAAGAAGCATCGGGCGGAGCCACTTCATTCGATGCAGCCTGCGTGAAATCGCTGACCCGACGATGACTTTTAGCGGGCAGCTGTTCGGCATTGCGAGGGTGAGGAAGGGTAGCCGTGAGCGCATCTGTCGGCTGAGCTTCACTGGAAGCTCGGTGGGAAGCAAAGCGCAGGGGCAGTGGAGTGATAGAAGCTCTGTCCACAGGAGATGCCTGAATCATTCCGGGGCGAGATAAGGGCTTCGCCTCACTGGTGGTATCAAGGCAAACACCAACAAAGCAATCTTTCTCTTCTTCAGCCAGGGGGGTGGAAGGGTCATCGAGCAGCAACCTTGTTGACTGCGCGAGACTCTCATATCTGGCCGCTGCGGGACGATCAAGTAAGAATCCATCACTAGATGAACGATAATTGTGGTCAGAGCCGATGAAAGAGTATGAGTTGCTGTGGAAGTGAGCAGGCATGAGTGGAGTAGAAGGGCCAAGGTCCAAAGGAAGAGGAACGAAGGACCTTCTTTTGCCAACATCTTTGTTCTTTGATGACCGACCCATCTTGGAAAACTTGCAGTCTTTGCCATCGTCCGGCAAGAAGTTTCTCTGAAGGCCTGCGGGTAATTGCGGGAGCAAAAGGAACTCCTTGAAGTCTTCTGTCCAAGCCCAGACCACAGCAGGCTTGCGAATTGTGCAGTCGACTCCTTCCCTCTCTGCCTTGGCTTTGGCAATGTAATATTGACGAGTGTACTCCATGGGAGCTAGACGAGGCGGAGCATGTCGAAACTCGGGAGGGGCCTCGTTCTGCCCAAAGTAGACGGTAGGGTGTTGAGGCTGAAGTAGATAGAGAGGGACACTCGTCGAAAGGGACGGGGATATCAAGTTTGATGGGCTTCGCAAAGATGATGCGTAGAGCGAATCTCGCTCGCCTCCGGAAATATTTCTGCCGCGTCGAGCCACCGCCTTGCTGAAATCAGATCCAACCCGTCTCATTTCCTCGGGAGCAATGGGGTTGGAGATCTGGGATCTTTCGATTCCTGCGCTTCGCTTGCTGCGTAGCTTGGTAGCACTAGGGACAGCTCTAGTGGGAGTCTTTGGGCGCAGAGAGCTGCTGGACCGGGTCGTACGAAGAAAGCTCCGAGGCGCCGTGTCGGTTGGGGTTCCAGGGGGTAGGCCGAACTGGTCGAGTAGTTCTTTGAGCGTTGGGAGCTCGGGGACATCCCTCTCTGCATCAGATGTAGCAATGAAGTTTGCAAAAGACTTGACTTTGTGAAGGATGTTCGAGGGCGTTCTTGGTCGCTCCACTTGGGCGGAAGGCTTAACGGGTTGTCCTTTCTCCTTCGAAAGCACCAATGCCTTGTCCATATCCTCTTCGTCTTCAGAGTCGCTTTCCCAAGTATATATAGGGGTGCCATTCTGGACCTTGGCTGGCAGAATGAGGCCGTACATGGCAAGCTGGTGTTTCTCCCATCCCTTTTCCAGCTTGATATAATGGGCCAGTGGGTGTTCTTCAAAGTCAGTCTTGGACAGTTCTTCAGAGTAGCCCAAGACAGGAGGCTCATCCAAGTCGCAGGCCCATTCGCGGCCATTGGTTTTTGCGCCCGTAATCTCGCGGCCTGGGCATCCCGCCAGAAGGGGAGTGGGAAGAGGCGGAGGTGGGGCTGGGGCCGGAGTTGGTCCTGGTGAGCTGCCCTCGATTTTGGAAGGGGGGGCTTCCATGGCTAGCTGGTGAGCGGCATTGAGTGAAGTGTTGGTTCGGTTACGTCGAAAGAGCCTCGAGAGCGGAGTGGATCGATCAGCTTCATTGATTCCTGGAGTCGATGGACGGGGCTGTGACTGAGTAGAAGGAGGAGTCTGGAGAGTAGTGTTCGCAGTGTGTGCAAGTGAGTGAGCGGAATCTGATCGATAGCGTGAAAGCTGCGAGCTCTTGCTTTTCTTTGGTTTTGGAGTCATTGTTGCGCTGGAGGCTGGAGCACAGCTGGCAAATGGAGGAGCTTTGTGTAAGATAATCGATGGATTGGACAGAAGCAGCGAAGCAAGTCGGAAAGCTGGTACAATGAAGCCGATAGGGGATAGTGTGATCCAAGCAGGATTCTCGTTGTTCAAGCCCCAAAACTTTGGTCGAGCAGGGAGAATCTGCACCAAGATCAGTCAGTGTTCGAGAATATGGTAAAAGACGGAACATTGGTGACATACTCTCTCGGTCTCAACAACAAAAGAAAGGCGGCTAGACAAAGCCTTCCAATATGGCCAATCGCGGAGTAGTGCTGAAGCTCGTAGAAGGACAATATCTAATGCGAGGGGCGGAGGACCAAGAGATGAGGTTGTTGGTGTATAAGAGGATGAATGGGAGGAAGTGAGAAGCGTGGTGTCTACGGGAGTTAGAGAAGCCAGAATAGAAATAATGCTGTGGGAGGGAAAATAAACAGTGAAGCGCGTGATGGGCAGGCGCGTCGGGCAGAGGGGAACTGAGAGGGAAGGGACGATGGTGAACTCAACGCACAGGCCTGCCTCAGGAATTGAAGATGATCGGTGAGAAAATCTGGTCTGTGGACATTGGCAACGTGAAAGCTGAGGTGGATTGGTCTGTATAAAAACAAACCTGCTCAACTGACCACGTAGTACAATGCAACATGTACGCTTTGAGCTCTCGAAGCGTAGATTCGTCTTGAGTGTGACATGATATTTGTCTTGACTCGGAATAGTACTACTTCGTTTACACTTTTAAGCCTAATAACTGAATACCAGGAATTATCATGTTGCAAAGAAGGAAGGAGACTCCAAAAAAACTTTTAGTAGAGAAATTGATCAGACAATAAGTAACGATTGAACCTAGATGAGGAGGACATGCAGATCACAGTAATACCCTTAGGTCATTCGAGTTATGTAAATCTAGCACCATTCTTCGTGTGTCTCGTGGATGAAGTATATTACGGCACTGCTGATATGTGAGTAAGTATCTATCTGTACATTAATTAGTCGAGCGAGATGAGGTAAGTCAATAGACCATAGGATGAAGAGAAAGGCATGATTAACGTCTTGAATTCATGAGAAAACTGATGAGACATATGATAGAATCTAAAGGTAAGGCTCGGCTTTGTGGAATAATTTGCTGATGTCTTGCTCCAGCAGGCAATGGTTTGATGAAGCTTCGCCAACGGTCTGTCGTTGTGATGGTTGGCTTCACAGCTACCTGAACTTCCTATCCGGAACTTGATTTGCTTACCTAAGGTGAGGTGAAGAAAGCACCAGCCACATTTGGGAGTGGTACCATCACGTGATGTAATAGGGGCGCCACAGTTGGGTTCGTCTCAGCTGGGCAGGGGCCACTGCCAAGGAAAGAAGGTCAAGAACCATGCCAAGAAAGGCCAAAGATGTAGCAGGAGCTCTCGGAGTCCTCTCCTTTCGTAGCACCGACGTGTTGTGTTTCCTGTTTTTTCCCCTGTGGCTTGACCGACACTGACTCTTTGTCCTGTTCTCTTCTTTCTCTCTTTAATTTCCCTGTTGTCTGTTCCATAAACACAATATCTCGCACTCTCCGCTGTGCCTTGCTTAATTCTCTACACCACATTTACTGCCCGCCAGAACCTGCCGGCCGGCCTTTCCCCCCCTCCGCTCCGAGACGCTCTCTTTCACTCGGCGAGGACTTCTCAGCGACCCGTCGCCATCGGAATCGAGCCGCAGCAGGCCCTGCAGATGCTCATCACATAATATAGCAATGGCTTTGGCGAGCAAGGGTGGGCAGCGTATGCTGTCGCACTTGCGCCCCTCTCCGACCCGGTGGGTTGGAACGCGTGGCTGCCGCCTCGGCCACAGTTCTTGGGGGCCGCTGTCAGCACCGGCAAGGACGGCACCGGCATTGGCACCACCACCTTCATCGACCGTCAACATCAAGACAGCCGCCGCCTGCTTCTCCACACACCCGCCAGCAAGATCCGGTGAGTTGGTGCGCGTACGTTCTCATTTCTTCGTGTGTACCTCTCCAAGTTCCCCATCCTTTCTTGTCGTCGCTGCGCGGTTCCACTCTCTGCGTGGCAGCTTCATCTTCTTCCTCCATGCAATGTTGGCGGGATGGATGTGATGCGGCACCTGCAAGAAGCCCAATGGGGCACGGCTGCGCGAGGCTGGGCGCCAGATATCCGCTTCCTCTGAGTGTTTTGGACAGGGATGCTACATCTCTGTGTAGCCGAGGACCCGATCCTGCAAGCCAAGATGCTGCAAATCAGATCTCGACTGGTTCCCACAGCGAATCAGGCTGCGAACCGGTTGCTGTCACATCTTGCTTGTAACGTCTCTCACCAATGCACTGTCTAGTAGAGCGGACTTTGCCTTTTGGGCCAATGAAGAGGAATCTCCAGTGAAAGATCCTCCTGTCGTTGCAACAAGAGCTGACCTTCAACCTAGATCAACCACAATCAAGCTCAAAGTCAGAACCTACCACTCCTAGAGCCCAAGATGGCGGCGATAGTCTTCCCAAGAAGATGCTCGAGTCCGCCGCGACGTCGTTCGCCTCCATTCTCGTCCTTGCTGTCGGCTTCGCAGTGGCAGGCTATGCTTACCACAAGACGTACAAGCGCATTGTCCTGAAGAAGATGACCCGCGCCTTCACGCCTGGTGACCCCGTTCTTGAGCTGGCCGCTATTGGGAAGGAAGTGCCGCAAACCTCCGCCGAGGCCGATGATCGGTGGGTGCAGCGGCCAGAGCAGGCACGCGTCGATAGAATTATCGACGGGTCAGAGGCTGGGCACTATTTTTTGCTCATGGGCGAGAAGGGGACCGGCAAGAGCAGCATGCTGATCGAGGCCATGCGTAAAATCGACGGCGAAGGCGTGGCCATGTTTGAGGCCCACGCAGACTTGGAAATTGTGCGCATACGCCTCGGCAAGGCCCTCGACTTTGAGTTCCATGAGGACTACATTGGCGGTTACTTCAGCGAACGCGGTCCTCGCGACACGACGGCTCTGTTGGATATCGAACGTGCCCTCAACAAGCTTGAAAAAGTTGCTCTGGTCAACCGTGAAACGCGAAAGAAGCCCCTGGTTGTCATCATCAACCAGATGCACCTGATCCGCGACGATGACGATGGCAAGGACTTGATCGAACTTCTTCAGCAACGTGCCGAACAGTGGGCGGCGTCCAACCTCGTGACGATGGTCTTCAACACGGATGACTACTGGGTATACGAGCGATTCAAGCAACTGGCTACGCGTATGGAGATCATGTCGGTGCGCGACCTGCCCAAACGCCAAGCCATCGCAGCTCTCGCAAAGTACCGCATGAAATACTTTAACGAGAAATTGAGCCCAACGAGACTTGAGGAGGTATATGACCTCGTGGGCGGCCGCCTCTCGTTCTTGAACCGCGTTGCTAAAAGCAGAGATATGATTGCTACGTGCAAATCCATCTGTGAGGTCGAGAAAACATGGTTCCTCAACCAGTGCTGGATTCTCGGCGCGGAGATGGACGACGATGTGATGGACCAGCAGAAGTGGGCTGTACGTAACGACCCCCCTTTCCGCATCGTCGCAAGCTGGCATGGGAACGCTAGTGGACGATCTGAACTGACAAGAAATGATAGGCCGGCGCTATGGTTCTCGCTCAAGCCCTCGTAGATGAGGAAGAAGACATGGAGCTGTATGACGACGAAAAGGGTCACGTACTGCCCAGGTTCCCGATGCACAAGGCGCAGCAAATCATGACGCGTGCCGACTTCATACGTGACATGGACCGGCTCAACCTGTTTAGTATCGCCGCCAATGCTGAGGTCCGCGCCTCATCTGTACCGATGCACCGCGCGTTCCAAGAGATCTGCGCCGAGAAGGGCTTCCGGGATCATCTGGAGGCTACGATCCAGCGTATCGGTGACATTGAGTCCCTTGGCCGCACGCGCGAGCTTGTCGCCAAGGACCTTGTCCTCGGTGGCAAGTACCAGATTGCTCGTGACGGCAAGAACGGTGTTACCGTCAAGCTTGTTGAGGGTGAAGATTGAGGCATGTACGTCTGAGCCTGAGTCTGGTATGGTCAGGTCGTCAAAAGCCCGATGGCGATACGGAGTCCACCATCGAGGCTGCCACATTCAAGCGCCGAGCTACCTTACGAGACGAAACCGAGTGACTGTGATGGGACAGTGTGACGCGAGCTCAGATCTGATTGTCCGATCCTATGGCCCACCACGACCTATCAACTTCGAGGGCGACCCTTAGATCGGACAAAGATCTGGCGCTGATCGATTATGCGACTGGGTCGATGGACTCGGCCGATATGGGATGAAGCCTGAAGAGACGAACAGGATGACACCGGCTTGCCAGCTACGTGTCGTCCGTCGAATGGAGTAGCTGAGAGTTGGATGTGTGGCCCATCCAGATGCGACATGCGCGTTCGCAGGCACAATAATGCGTGGCTGGGAATGCGACGACCCCAACCTGTAAGATAGAGCACGTTTGCGGATAGATCCTGGGCTCTTTGGCTCGGGGAGAGGAGAGGGACATTGCGACAAGTTGCGCCTGTCCCCCTGTACGATTGCCGATTGCACTGTAGATTGCAGCCGCTCGAAAGATTTCTTTTGTATCCCATGACTTTTGTAGCCATCAATGTAAACCTACCCTTGCTGTAATGCACGCCCAAACTCTGCTATTCCGTGGATACCAATCGTTCGTTCGTTGCCATCGTGGCTCGGCACCTCGGGGCCCTGTACGGTGTAGTATGCACCGCTGCTCCAGCTCAATCTCGCGACAATGTACTTTATGTAGCAATGAACAGCCCATCAGATAACGCCGCTTGGAGTGGAGACCTCCCCCCTCTCCCCATGCTCGACGACATCACGACTTTTGATGGTCTGACCAGGCCTATCCCTTGTCGAATCTCAAGACACCACCTCGCCAGGCGATGTCACTGGGCGCGAATACCTACCTACTGCCTACCGCATCTCGTTGGTCCAAGTTGTTTCTGCATGTCTCGGATTCGAGACGTTGGGATAGTACCCTCAGACTCTGCAGATGTAAGGAAAAAAGAAAGGAAACTGGGTTAAGGTAGATGAGGCGATGCGGAGGAAAGAAAATGGAAAAAAAGCAAAAAAAGCAAATCCTTGAAGATGAAAAGCACGTACCAAGTTACCAACCAACCACCAACCACCACCATCGCACCCCCGCGCCATTTCTCTCCCGCAGCGCGCCGCCGACCTTCCCGAAGCGCCGTCCCGGGGGATACCCTTCAAACACCGGCCGACGGTTCTGTGCGACGTGGACGGTGGCACGGTAGATTGGTCCAACGTTGACAGCGACATACCCGGCCTTTTTCTACGTAGCCTGTAGCGGCGTTTGCTCTCACTCCCTTTCCCTTTCAACGCTCCCACTAGATCCATCCTCCTTCTCTTCCTCGGGGACTTCCTGGGGGGCCCTGGAGGGGAGCAAAATGAACTACGGAGAGCCTCTCCACTTTCCCAACGGTCGCACCACTCTCTTTCGCTGTCTCCAGCGGACCGCCACCACCACCAGCAACACCACAAATCATCCGATATTCGACTGGACACACGCTGCAGCGGAAGGTGAGGATGAACTGGGACAAGCAACGCACCACGGCAGCCTTTCCCGCCCGAAGTATCCGACGTCTACGAAATGGGTGTCCTCCGCGAGCACTTTGCCCCCTCGGAGCATAACAGTTACCGGGCTGCCTGGATAGTACTGTAGCAGTGGGTAAGGTAGGTCAACCAAAGGCATCAACGGCCGAGATCAATCTACTCCGGAGGAAGTATACGAAAAAAGCAATCAGTGCTATCTCACATAGTACCAAAAAAACCCCCCGTCCATGCCTCAGACGTACAGATAAATACCCTGGGCCAAGAACAAACGGGAATTAGTGAAAGGGCCCCCAAATCTCTCCAACGTGACAACGCTCCTCTAGGCTCTCCAAGCTCCCCTGGCCTGGTCCCGTAGATTGCGCGCCATCGCGTCCCCTGAACCGCTCGCTCGTAGCTCCAACTGCACCGTGCCAGTGCCCCAGTGATGGCTATCAACAGGGGGGAGGAAGAATACCTAGTTGAGGAAGAGAGCTTGGAGGCCTGCCTGGAGGAAGAGGGGTCTCTGCAAGCTGTGGCGAGGTTAGCTCCTCACCCTCCTCCGTACTGCGTATCCTCTCGCCCAGTGTGAGACTGCCGACTCAGATTGAAGGCAAAGATTGAAACCTTTCTTGGTCCTCAGCTGTGCAGCAGCAGCTCCGTTTCCCTGCAGCATCTCAGAGCAACTCCAAGTCAAAGTCTCCAACTATCCCGTATCCAGACGTACAGTAGTCGCGTACGCCCCCCGGGCGCCCCCACTACACACCTCGACCCTGACCCTGAACCTGACCCCGACACCCCGGTCCCTCTCGTCCGTGATCCATCCACATCGACCGCCGGCGCCCATCCAACGGGAGGACAATGTCCGTCTTTAGAACCGCTGGAGAGAGAAAGTCGAGACTCGAGAGACGGGCCAGGCAGTGGCCGAAGTGGTTCCAGATGCGATGATCAGCGTCCGTTGTATCTGGACTCCCTCTTACTTCTAGTTATCATTCAAGGTACAATGAAAAGTAGAGAGTACATGAACCCAGCTGTAGAGCAAAGGGATGGGCCCCAGAGTGAGTGGGTGGGATCATTCGGCTCTCACGGCCGTGTCGGCAAATAGGGATCTTCACTGCACAACCCATCGTTTTTGTCCGAACATGCACCCACGGCCACGCTTCGGATGCGAATGTCGGATCATTCAAAGTCGTCGGCAGTGGATGACGCCGCTGCTCCATCTCATGCGTCTAATCAACGAAATACCATACCTCTGTACTGTAAGGCTGGCAACAGGCATGGGACACACAATGCGAGGCGAGAGGCAATTGTAAAAGAGTGAGGAGAGGCGCAACCAGCGCAGATTGTATTGTGTTGCGACCATACTCCTCCAGTGCCATGATAATACTGGCTCGTATAGTACTTGCATGCATCGCCACCGACTTTCCCTGGAGCCAAATTCCGGGGGAAGCCGTCCAAACGAGCATAACAGTTGTTGCGATAAATTTCAAATCGGAACAGAGTCCGAGCCGCCCAGATCCAGACAGTTTCCTTGTCTGTCCCATTAACCCAAAAAGCCAATACGAAACCGCAAGAGAGAAGAAGAAAATATAGGGGGAAAAAAAGACTGGCAGCCGACCCTCAAAAATACAAGAAAAGGAAACGCCGCCGTGCGGAGAGTAGGGAGGAAAGAAAAAAAGGATCAACGCGATGACAAGCTAGCAATTTCCCGACTGCCATCCCGTCTTGTTGTCTAGGATGCCAAGGTTCATCAATCGCTCCGCCCTCCCGTTGCCCATCCCAATCCCATGGCGTCGTTCGAAGCCGGAATGCAAGTGGCCCCTGTACATGATGTCGCTCCCCCATGACATGCTTCACCCAGTAACTCCGACCACAGTAGTGCCGACCCGATGAGGAAAAGAGAAGAGTGTGAGTGAGAGAGAGAAAGGACGAGGGAAGAAAGAATACAACGCGCGGGTATACCGGGATGAAGGCAATAAAGAAGATGGTGAGAAGAGCATCTGGCGAGTACAAGAACAGCGCGGATGGATAGGCGCCATCCGCCGTGAACTGGCTAATGTAGTTCAGGTGCACAAGAAATCAAGTCCTAGGCGTCTGGCAACGCTCTGCCAGTCCCAGACAGCAATCCACTCGCCACACTCCATGAGGTGCCAGACTTCTTCCAGGACCTCGAGGACTCTATCGCAGTTGCGAAGACCAGTGTAGCCCCGGACCGACCGGATGATGCCTCGAAGTCGCTCTTGCTGTGTGGGGTCGAAGCATGTAGTACCAATGACCAGACTCGGCATCAGCAAAAGGGTAAGAGCTGGGTCCGATGGCTTGAATCCTTCCATGATCGATAGAGACTCGTCCACCGCAGCAGTGATGCGATTGTCATGCTGCTGCGGGCGGCGAACCGGCGGTGGAGAGGCTGGGCGTTGTTCATCAATCACAGCGCAGCTAGAGGACCCGGCATCGGACTCATGCATCGAGCTCGTCCTGGACGGTCCTCGAGAGTTTGGCTCCCGTTTGAGCTGCATCGAAGAGGGGAACCCAGAACCCATGCTGGGCCTCAGGCCGGGAGACGAGGCGCAGCTCGTGGCCGTAGACGGCCTAGAAATTTGCGAATGCCGGCGGGAGGAAGACGACGAGGTTGAGGTGGCGACAGATGTAGCTATAGAGTAGACGGAGGGCCGTCTCTCTGGAGAGGTAGGAGGGTAGATTGTGCGGAAGAGATGCAGGAACATCATGTGTTTGTAAACCAGCCCAACTCTGTGACGGCTATCACCTGGTGGCCAAAGAGGCATCCATTGCTCAATAGCCTCTTGAATCTCCTGCGCTCGGTACAGAACGTGATACGTCACGACAGTCTCGGCGCGTCTGTAAATGTTATCCCGGATGACGTTTCGGATTGTGGTGATTTGGCAGAGATGTTGAAACAGGCCATCAGCAACACCCAGAAGACGAGGCGAGTCCAACGGAACCAGGGGGCTCCAGTCTTCGGAAGCCAAGCGTGGACGGTTGGGCGCGGGATGCCAGAGGAGTTCGTCCGCGTAAATATGGTACTGGAAGAATTCGCTGATGAAGGCCAGGAAGACAGGATCCTCTGGAGGGCTCTCTTGGATCAATTGCTTGTATCCGCTCAGGTGAACACGATGCGCTCCATGAGATTCACCTTCAATCAGCGTGGTGACCAGGAGGCAAAGGATTTGGGCGTAGCGAGCCGACAAGATTGTTTCGCGATCATCAATGTCCTCCTCCGCCGAACGGTTCATGTCGGCGTACAGAGTCTTCATCGCTTGTTCCTCGTGATATGCTGACCGGGCCTGTAGCGCTTCCAGGGTGGTTGTCGGATTTCTCTCGAGTAACTTGGCGCCGTACGGTGTATCAAAGTCGATGTGTTTGCTACTCATGGCCAGGATCGAGTGCATCACGCCCTGGTGAAGGTTTGCCAAAGGAAGAATAATATCCTTAAAGGCATTCTTGGCTTCTCCCTCAACAGTCAGAACGTTGCTGAGGTGGACGCCGTAGTGTCTCCAGAATATCTTGTCCTCGATCGTGTCGACGCCGTTGAAAAGAGGTTGCATGGTGAAAACGAGCGACTCCTCATCCCCAACGTGATCTTCTTCCGAGTTAGACCATCAACATATTTGCTGGATTCATAAGCAAGCACTTACCAATTGTTGCCTTTTCTTTGCCGCTTCTCCATAGCTTCTTCTCATGATAGCCCTCGCAGACAACAGCATTCTTCTCGCAATTCATACCTGCTCACATGTCAGGGAAAAAAGTCCCAAGCAGTGAGTGATACGGCAGTGACACTTACATCTCGGCTTCGCCTCGTCACACTTCTTCTTCCGTCTCCGACAGGTAATGCAGCCCGTCTTGGATCGACCCTTGGTCACCTTACTCTGGTTGATGATGGATGCTACAGGATGCTTGCGTGGTCTTCCTCGGGGTCGCTTCTGCTTCAGTGAGTTTGTGGCCGAGACCAAGGTAGTTCCAGTTTGCGCTAATGGGGCCTCCTTAACATCGCCCAGCTTTAGATCGTCGTCGTCCGTGGGTTCTATTTTAGGTATGATGGCAAAAGTGTCGTCCGACTCCTGTTCCCATACAATGTCGTTGTCAGCATCGTCTCCATCGCACGTATCGGCGTGGCCAGTGCTCCAGGAATCGGTGCAGGACGAGGATGCGGAGTGTACGATTGTCGGGTCGCCGGACGGCTCTAAATGGGGAATATCTACGGCGGCGCTGACGGGAGACAGCTGCCCGGAGAGAGAGTGAGGAATGCTGGTCGAGGCCATCCAGGCCGCTGCCGTTTGGGAGGTTGGTTGGTGTGGAAGCAGCATGTCGTCTTGCATGTTGTCGTCTGAAGAGTTACTGTGGTGGTCCGACCATGAGAGATCCCCGTCGTCCGAAACCATTGAGAGAGAGGTAGAATCCATGGCTCGTCACTAGCGAGACCATGCCAACACGAAATATTCAAAACCGGTGAGATTCTGGTGGCCAGTTGTTAAAGCGATGCGTCGAAGGTGGAATGCTGGTGCGGTGGCGACGGGATAGAATATGGACGGCCTGAGTTGTCGATCAATCGTTGATTCTGGTGAGAGGTACGGGATGTCGAACGGTGTGTGAGGTCGAGCCGGGAGGAAAAGAAAGGACGGCAGTCAAATGATATCTCTCTCAAGGACGAGTGACCAATGTCAAGATACATGAGACAGGGAAGCGGGCGAGGAGTCTTCTGAAGATCAAGACCGTTGCGGTCCGCTCAAGAAGAAGGGAAAGGCTGATCACTGGGAAAGCCGACGTGGAATGGAGGGGCTGAGATGGGGTGGAGAGATGATCGCTGGGTCTTATTTGGGAACCAGCTTGTCGTCGAGACGAAGTGGGAAAAGAAAGAGGGTCGTTGGACGACAGGATATGGGGCCAGCCGCTTCGAGGGGCGGGATATGCATATACATATCTGCAGATAGCTGCGCTCCTAGTGGGTGGGAAGTCGGGACGGCGACAGGGTCTCGAGGTGAATGAGGGAAGACATGCAGAGAATCGATGTTTCTCCCATACGCACTAAGGCCCCCTAGCACATTGGGTAGCTCCCCTCAAGCAAGGTGCGAGAATGAATGGTCCATGGGATGGGGGTACGGATACT